TTGCAGCATTCACCCGCAACCACTCCTTCGACGACGAGACTCCACCTCCAGGAGTCAACATCGTCGGGGGCAAGTGGTTGTTCCGTGTAAAACAGCTCCCAGACGAGGCACCGGTGTTTAAAGCGCGCTACGTAGCCAAGGGCTTCACCCAGCAGCAGTACCGCGACTTCTTCCTAACCTTCTCCCCCACATCCAAACCTCCCACCATTCGTACGCTCATGGATGTCGCAGCTCGAGAAGACTTCGAGATCAAATCCATGGATGCCTCATCCGCCTTCCTACAAGGACGTCTCAAGGAGACAGTGTTCATGGACAGACCAGAAGGCTTCCCAGGAGATTTCCCTCCCAACACTGTCTGGAAGCTGAATCGCCCCGTCTACGGCCTTAAGCAAGCCCCTCGCGAATGGCACAACAAGGTGAAAGAAGTCCTCCTCTCCCTGGACTTCCACCCTTCAACTGCTGACCCGACTCTCTTCATCCGCCGTCATTCTGAGCCCTTCTACATCCTAGTCTACGTGGATGATTTCATCCTCGTGGCCAAGGACTCGGCCCAGATGACCTCAGTCCAGGCAGCCCTAAGCAAGGCTCTCCAGATGAAAGACCTCGGTGACCTCAAGCACTACCTGGGGATGGAGATCACTCGTGATCGCAAGGCTCGCACCATCTCACTCTCCCAGGAGTTCTACATCGACAATGTGCTCAAGCGATTTGAGATGGAGCTATGCACACCTGTTGCCACCCCGCTGCCGCTGCAACACCTCCTCACAGCTCCAGCGGTACCCACACCAGAGGCCTGCTCTGAGCCATACCCGGAGCTTGTTGGGTCCCTCATGTACGCCATGATGTGCACCCGGCCAGACCTGGCCTATCCTGTCAGTGTCCTCTCTCGCTACGTGGCCCCTGGACGCTTCACTGACCTTCACTGGAAGGCAGCCAAGCGGGTGTTGCGCTATCTTCAGGGCACCAAGTCTCACGTCCTCACACTCGGTGGGCTCTCCCCTCCTCGCCTAGAGGGTTACACCGACTCCTCCTGGGCTGATGACCAGACCGACCGACGCTCCTCTCAGGGGTACTGCTTCACCCTTGGGAGCGGAATTGTCAGTTGGCGCTCCACCAGGTCGTCTGCAGTCTCCCTCTCCTCATGTGAGGCAGAGCTCTACGCAGGCACCATGGCTGCTCAGGAGGCTCGTTGGCTCACCTTCCTCCTCCAGGAACTTGGTTTCCCACAGTCCGCCCCTACCCTCTGGTGTGACAACCAGAGTACCATCCACATCTCTCAAGACCCTGTGTATCACACCCGCACCAAGCACATTGAACTCCGGCACTTCTTCATCCGTGACCTTGTCCAACAAGAGCAGTTGAAAGTGGAATACGTTGCATCTGACTGCAACCTGGCTGATCTGTTCACCAAGCCCCTTGGGAAAGTTCCCCACCACCGTCTCCTTGGCGCCATGGGGCTCTGTGCTCCACCCTCTCTACCCTGAGTTCGATTGACGCCTATGGGGGGGTGTTAGTGTTAGTCTTCAATCTCACAATTTGTACTTTGTATTTTCTATATCCTAGAGTAGTGTAGTTTGCACATTGTGTTTGGTTGGGTGTACACCTACATCCCAACCAAACCCAAATGTAATCTCCAACCAATCTCCAACCCACCAATTGGAGATTGCCTTGGGATTACCCCCAATCCCTAGAGATTGCCCCCGATTCCCTTCCCCATCCTTTTCCTACCCCTCTTGGATGTACTTAAAGAGCTTCAAGCTCATTACTAATGCATCGCTTCTAAGCCTATTTGTGACAAAGTTGTCAAAGAAAACAATAGAAGGAAGAGAACCTTTGAGCCCTCTTGGATCGCTCTTTCATTCCCACTGGCCCGCAGGCACTTGTGTGAATGCATTATGCGCCCACAGCAGGCAGGCAGCCGTCAAAGAGCACAGGAGGGAGCACTGCCGAAAAGAGCACCTGCTAACTGCAGTACAGGCACATCACCTTCCCCTCTCCCTCTCCTCACCTTTCTTCTGGCACTTGCACGGATGCGCCCACGGCAGCCAGGCACCCATCAAAGAGCACAGGAGAGAGCACTGCCCAAGAGAACACCTGCTAACTGCAGTACAGGCACACCACCTTCCCTCTCCCTCTACGCACCTTCCCCTCTCCGCCTACGCACCTTCCCCTCTCCGCCTACACACCTTCCCCTCTCCCTCTACGCACCTTCCCCTCTCCGCCTACGCACCTTCCCCTCATTCTCTACGCACCTTCCCCTCTCCGCCTACGCACCTTCCCCTCTCCCTCTACGCACCTTCCCCTCTCCCTCTACGCACCTTCCCCTCTCCCTCTACGCACCTTCCCTCTCCCTCTACGCACCTTCCCCTCTCCCTCTACGCACCTTCCCTCTCCCTCTACGCACCTTCCCTCTGGCACTTGCACGGATGCACCCACAGCAGCCAGGCACCCGTCGAAGAGCACGGGAGAGAGCACTCCCTGCTGCTGGCGGCTGTGAAAGGGACAGAAGCACATCCCATCCCTCCCTCTTCTCACCTCTCTTCTGCTCACCACCTCCCCATCGCTTCCCACCGCATACTCTACATCCCTCCCTCTGCTCACCTTTCTTCTGGCACTTGCACGGATGCACCCACAGCAGCCAGGCAGCCGTCAAAGAGCACAGGAGTGCACTCCCTACTGCTGGCAGTGAACGGAAGCAGCACCTCCCCACCGCTCCCCACCACATACTCCACCCCCTCCACCCACACACTCGCCGCCCGGCCCCCCAGCACTCCCTGCTGGAGGCTCGTCCCAACCACCACACTCGGCTCTCCCCCGGCCGAGGCTTGGTCCGGACCTCCACCCGAGCCTGCAACCGAGCCTGCAGCCGAGCCTCCATCCGAACCGGCAGTTGCAGTGGTGGGCAGCACGAGAGCGCCGTCCTCGTTGAGCATTCGGATGGAAAGGCCGCGAGGGGTGAGGGTGGCCGTGTGGCTGCTCTCGTGGAATTGGATGGTGGGAGGAGGGGAGGACAGAAGTGGAGACACATGAAGACGTAAGCACATATAAAATACCCGCCACACATTTCGCATCTGACATTTGCTCATACCATTCACAGCGTTACCTCATAGCTCTATTCACTTGATAAGGTTACTCTGTAGTCCAGATTTGGATTCTTTAACAGTAAACTGCCCTTTCAAGTCGTTCTCACAAGTCGTTTACATCCACTCACACTAGATTGCCCTTTCGGATGATGGCCCGCGTGCACAGCCCGCTGCCCTCCAGCTGCACTACAAACACGCCCCGCCGCCCGGCCAGCTGCGGCAGATCCACACTCAGGATTCGCTTTATGAGGGAGAAGGGGCGGGAGGGGGGGGCGGAGGAGGAGGGGGTGGTGGTGGTAGTGGAGAGATGCGTCTGTTTGTCTTGTTCCTGCTGGAGCAGTTGAATCTCTTGCTGATGCCTGTAACAAGGTGCAACGAGGGTAAGTGGGGAAGAGGAAGAGAGGAGGGAAGGAGAGGAAGTACCAGTAGAATGTAAGTGATAGATCCCAAGGAAAGGCTGTGTACGAAAGGAGAAGAGAGAATTGAGAAGAAAGAAGCAAGGGAGACAGGACGGAAGAAGGGAGAGGGAAAAGCGAGAGCAAGAAAGAAGAAGGTAGACGGAAGAAGGGACAAGTGATAAAAGAGAAAGGAGAATGGAGAAAAGAGGGGAGAAGAGGGAAAAAGGAGAAGTGAGAATTGAGAAGAAAGAAGCAAGGGAGACAGGACGGAAGAAGGGAGAGGGAAAAGCGAGAGCAAGAAAGAAGAAGGTAGACGGGAGAAGGGACAAGTGATAAAAGAGAAAGGAGAATGGAGAAAAGAGGGGAGGAGAGGGAAAAAGGAGAAGTGAGAAAAGAGAAAGGAGAAGGGAGAGGGGATACAGCAGACGGGAGTAGGGAGGGAAAGGAAGCAGGCAGATGGGAGAAGGGAGAAGAGAGAAGGGAGAAGGGAAACCGTGGCTTGAGAGCTTGCATACCATGGTTTGAGTCCGTGCAGTGACCCCAGATTGGAGAATTCCGTATCATTTGGCGAGGAGAGCAGGTAGCGCAGCGAGTCCACCTCAAACAGCTTCACCTGGATGGGAGGAAAACCAGTGAAAGGTGAATAATACAAATCTCACAAGGAAAAGGGTCTACATTTCGAGCGTACAAGGGAGGAGAGCAGGTAGCGCAGCGAATCCGCCTCAAACAGCTTCAGCTGCAGCGCGGAGGGGGCATTCAATGATTTGACAGGGAAAGGGAAAAATGTCCACGAGTGTCACAGGGGAGGAGAGCAGGTAGCGCAGCGAACCCACCTCAAACAGCTTCACCTGGATGGGAGGGAGGGGGAGGGAGGAGAGCGTTGAAAAGAGAGGAAAAGGAGGGGGCTGACAAAGCGATTGATTAGAGTGTCACGCGGCGAGGCGAGCAGGTAGTGCAGCGCATCCACCTCAAACAGCTTCACCTGGATGGGGAATCCAAAGAGACGAAGGGATGGAATGGAGGAGTGAGGTATGCGAAGGAAAAGGTGGGATGGTGTGGGGAAGAGAGGTGGAGACAGGGGTAGGTCGAGCAGGAGCAGGGGCTGAAGAAAAGAGGCGAACACTTGAGAGGCGCTTACACAGAGGTGAGGAAAGAGAATAGGCTACACTAGGAGGGGTTTTCACATTGAAGGAGAAGAACTGAACTACATGACGGGAGGGAATGGCCAGAGGAGGAGGAGGAGGAGGAGGAGGAGGGAGAGGAGGAGGAGGAGGAGGAGGAGGAGGAGGAGGGAGGAGGAGGAGGAGGAGGAGGAGGGGGGGGGGGGGAGGAGGAAAGTAGGGGAGAAGCAAAAGGAATTTCACAAAAAAAATATCTTATCGCAAATGGCAGGTAACAATTGAAACAGCTGTCCGCACACCACAACCTTATACTGTAATCATGCAATGCAAGACAGACAAACGGCACGCTCCAGCTTACACGCTCCTCGCAGCAGTCTATAACGAGGACAACAGCTTACAGCGAGTACGGGCACGTTCTTCACAATCACGTCCAGATGCACCGAATCCGCCGCCCGCCACACCCGCCGGTTGTGGTCGGCAAAGTCCAGCTGGCAGCGCCCCGTCAGCTCGGCCAATGCGCTGCTGCCAGCTGTCAGGTTGTCCGGCGCGTGCTGGCGCTGATAGGACGTGAGATAGAGGTGCACCCAGCTGTGAGGAGGGGAGGGGGAGAGGAGGGGGAAGGGAAAGGGGCGAGTTCACGGAGAGTGAGGGGAAGTGGCGCTGATAGGACGTGAGATAGAGGTGCACCCAGCTGTGAAGGGGACAGGGGAGGGGGCGGGGGAAAGGGAAAAAGGGAGGGGGGAAGGGGGAAGGGGGAGGGGGGAAGGGGGAAGGGGGAGTTGAGGGCGAGCGAGGAGACATGATGCTGATAGGACGTGAGATAGAGGTCACCCAGCTGTGGAGGGAGACGGGAGGAGAGGAGGGCAGAAGCGGAGCGGGAATGAGGAGAGGGGACAGGAAGGATGAGTTTGTTAGAGGGGGTTGGGGTTGCAAAGAAAAGGTGTGTAAGGATTGCATCTCGCAGTTCTCATCACCTAGTCAAGCAAGTCAAGGGGGTTGTGCCAGCAGCAAACAGCGACTGAAACGAGACTCACACGGGGTAGTAAGGGTCGTCCGCGCAGCACAGACAGCCTGCTCTCAGCCAAGAGCAGATAAAAGAGGGCATTCCCACGACGCAGGAAAAGAAATCAGCAGACAGAGAAGTGTGGGAAGCATGGCGAGACGAGAGACTCACACGGGGTAGTAGGAGTCGTCTCCACAGCATAGCCACACCTCAGCCAATAGCAGGCGGAAGTGCTATCACACCTACTCAGCACAATCTTAAAGCACCCTCTAAGATGAGAAACACACGGGGTAGTAAGGGTCGTCCGCACAGCACAGCCTGCTCTCAGCCAATAGAAGATAAAAGCGGGCATTCCCACGGCACAGGATTAGGCGATAAAAGGGAATCAGGCGAGACTCACACGGGGTAGTAGGGGTCGTCTCCGCAGCACAGCCTGCCTGCTCTCAGGCAATAGCAGGTGGATGGAGCCAGTCCCAAGGCACAGGAATAGCAATCAGAGGACAGAGAAGATTGGAAGCACGGTGAGACGAGACACTCACACAGGGTAGTAAGGGTCGTCCGCGCAGCACAGCCAGCCTGCTCTCAGCCAGTAGTAGGTGGAAGGAAGTGCTACGGCACCTACTCAGCACAATCTTAAAGCACCCTCTCAGATAAGAATCACACGGGAATCAGACAGGACTCACACGGGGTAGTAGGGGTCGTCTCCACAGCACAGCCGGCTCTCAGCCAATAGCAGTGCCACGTAGCTCCAGTCCAGCTTGCCCTGTTTAATCAGAGGCTGCCACGTGTGCATGGCCCTCTCAACCAGTGCAGCTGCCTCCGGTGAGTCCGGTGCAAATGGAAACTGCGCTGACGATGCCTCTGTTGCTGATGCTGACGTGGCAGGAGTTGAATGGAACATAGAGCGAGAGGTGATACTCGTAGGAGCAGAGGAGGAGGAGGAGGGAGGGGAGGTGAGGGAGGAGGAGAAGGAGGGCGAGGAGAAGAGGTTTCGGAAGAGCTGGGCTACGAGCTCCTTAACGTCGGATGGAGAGGGGCAGGAGGCGAAGAGAGGGAAGTAGGCAAATGCCTCCTCCTCGTGTGGCCTGCTATTGATAAAGATTGGGGATTGGAAATGGGGGATTGGGAAAAGGCACTTTAAAACAGCCAGGTTACGAGCTCCTTGACATCGGATGGGGAGGGGCAAGAGGTGAAGAGAGGCAAGTAGGCGAACGCCTCCTCCTCATGTGGCCTGGTGGGGTTCGGGTTGCACATTGGAGAGGAGGAGTTCAGGAGGGGATTGGAGTTTGGCAATCGGGGTGTGAGGATTGGGGATTGGGGAAGGTACATCGGGACATCGGCTGGGCTACAAGCTCCTTGACATCGGATGGGGAGGGGCAGCAGGCAAAGAGAGGGAAATAGGATGCCTCCTCCTCGTGTGGCCTGGTGGGTTGGGTGGGGGACTTGGGGAAGGTACATCGGGACAGCTGGGCTCCGAGCTCCTTGACGTCGGATGGGGGGATTGGAAAAAGGCACTTCGAAACCGCTGGGCTTCAAGCAGCTTGACATCGGATGGAGAGGGGCAGCAGGCAAAGAGAGGGAAGTAGGCGAACGCCTTGGAATTGGGATTGGAATCGGCATTGGAAGAGGGCAGGGGTGTGAGTGAAGAGGGCAGGAGTGTGAGTGAAGAGGGCAGGGGTGTGAGTGAAGAGGGCAGGAGTGTGAGTGAAGAGGGCGGGGTGTGAGTGAAGAGGGCAGGAGTGTGAGTGAAGAGGGCAGGGGTGTGAGTGAAGAGGGCAGGAGTGTGAGTGAAGAGGAGACGCCTTAACCTGCTGGAGAGGTTGCAGTTGAGATTAACCGCTCCTTGAGTCGTGCCGGCAGGCAGGCAAGCATTCGGCGCACTGAGAGCAACACACTGAGAAAGGCGAACCAAGAAAGAAGTCCTCTGCAGCCCACCTGTCCGCTACTGACAGCAAAGACACGGTTCTTTGCTGCGGAGGACATCAAAGAAGTCATTGATGCCCTCCGCAGCCCACCTGTCCTCCGCAGCAAAGATATGGTTCTTTGCTGCGGAGGACATCAAAGACTGCGGAGGACTTCTTCAATGTGACGAAGTCCTCCGCAGCCCACCCGTCCGCTATTGACAGCCAAGACACCGTATGGACCGCTGTGGATGAGCGAGAGGAACGCGAGGAGGAGGGGGGGGGAGAGGAAGGGAAGGTGAAGGAAAAGGAAGTGGAAGAGGAAGAGGAAAAGGAGAGAAGACGCCGTAAGGGCTGTTGTGGATGGGCGTAAGGAAGGCGGGGAAGAGGGGGAGAAGGAGGGGTTAAAAGGAGGTGCTGAGCTCAACTGAACCTACCTTGCATGCGGGAAGACAGCACAAGGGTTGTCGTGAATGGGCGAGAGGAAGGCGAGGAGGAGGGGTAGGAAGAAGCGAGGGAGGAAAGGAGGTGCTCAAGTCAACTGAACCTACCATGCAGGCGGGAGGACACCATAAGGCTGTCGTGAATGGGCGAGAGGAAGGCGCAGAGGACGGAGGAAGGGGGAGGTGGGGGGGGGAGGAGAGGGGGAAAGACGCCATAAGGGCCGTCGTGGATGATTGAGAGGAAGGAGCGGAGAAGGGGTAGGAAGAAGGGAGGGAAAAGGAGCTACTGAGCTCAAGTGAACCAACCTTACAGGAGGGAAGACGCCGTAAGGGCCGTTGCGGATGAGTGAAAGGAAGGTGCAGAGCACAGGAGGGGGGATTGGAGGCGCTGTACTGGATTCGACTTACTTCGCAGGGGGGAAGACGCCGTAAGGGCCGTTGTGGATGATGGAGAGGAAGGCGAGGAGGAGGGCAGCGTCCGCCTGGCCGTGCACGAGGCTGAGCGTGAGGCGAGCGAACAACAGCTTCGCCTTCAGGTGGTCGCTGGTTAAAAGCGGTTGGATGCGGTCCAAATAGCTGGTGGGTAGGGGGGTGAATGGGGGGAAGGAGTTGATGGGAGGAAGGGAGGGCAGCGTCGGCCTGGCCGTGCACGAGGCTGAGTGTGAGGCGCGCAAACAGCAGCTTCGCCCTCAGATGATCAGTGGTTAGCAGCGGTTGGATGCGGTCCAAATAGCTGGTGGTGGGTGAGGAACGGGGAGAGGGAGTAATGGGAAGAGGGGACGCTTTGCATCTGATCCAGATAGCTGGTGGGTGGAAGCAAGGGGATGAAAGGCACAGAAAGAGAACGACTGAGATGAGGTGAGCAAAGAGAGGCAGCACAGATGTAAAGGCCGTGAGGTTGTTGGCCTCTGTATTGAGGGGCATTGGCTCCTTTACCCGTCTCAAAACATCTCAAAAGACAAGATAGTGGAACGAATCTGAATTTTAATGTTGGTAGTAACAATAGTAACAGTAGTATAGTAACTATCACAATAATTAACAAACCTCAAGATCTGATCGACGCTTTCTGGGGTTGGTGCGGAGGTGTCCAGAGACATGCCACGTGGCAGCATCTGAATGGCCTGCAGCGCCAGCATGCGCGGATGGGTGGCAAGGGACGGGAAGCGGGCGGCAAGGGACTGTAGCTGCGGGGGAGTGAGGATCTGCAGAATCGGGAGGCTGGAAGTGGAGGGGAGAAATATCAGGAAACGGGGGGGAGAGGAGGGGAAGGGGGCGTGGGGGTAGAGGGGAGGAGAAATGAGCAGGGGGGGGCGAGGGAAGAGATGAGGGGAAGGATGCATGGAGAAGCGGGTAAGGAAGGAAGGGAGGGAAATAGGGCAGTAATGCGATGAAAAGTAGCAGACAACAACAGCACACACTTTCAACATAACAGAAAAGGAGAACAAGATCAACATCAAGAACAAAACCAACAAACAATCAAACAAAAAACCAACGCATCGAAGCACTTGTCGCAAGGTACCTCAAGTTGAGGTATACTCTGAAAGCCGATGCCAATCAGTTCAGGTGAGTTAAGCTGATGCACTTACCTAAGGCGGCTGAAGGCATCTGGCTCATCCCGCTCCAACCGCTGCAGCTCCCATGCCACGGCGTCCTCTATTTGGGGCAGCGATGGATGCCGCACATGCTGGATGGGAGGGAGAGAGAGGAAAAAGCGAGGAGGGGAGAGTAAGGCAGGCTCAGCTCATCCCGCTCCAACCGCTGCAACTCCCATGCCACTGCGTCCTCCAGTCGGGGCAATGAGGGGCGACGCACATGCTGGGTGGAGAAAGAAAAGGGAGCGACGGAAGGAAAAAAAAAAGGAGAAAAAACGGCGGAAGGGACAAGACAGGGACACAGCGGGTGATGGGCGGCGGCAGCAAGGGACGGGATGGAGGGGTACACATGCTGATGCTGATGGGACGGGATGGAGGGGTACACATGCTGATGCTGATGGGACGGGATGGAGGGGTACACATGCTGATGCTGATGGGACGGGATGGAGGGGTACACATGCTGATGCTGATGGGACGGGATGGAGGGGTACACATGCTGATGCTGATGGGACGGGATGGAGGGGTACACATGCTGATGCTGATGGGACGGGATGGAGGGGTACACATGCTGATGCTGATGGGACGGGATGGAGGGGTACACATGCTGATGCTGATGGGACGGGATGGAGGGGTACACATGCTGATGCTGATGGGACGGGATGGAGGGGTACACATGCTGATGCTGATGGGACGGGATGGAGGGGTACACATGCTGATGCTGATGGGACGGGATGGAGGAGTACACATGCTGATGCTGATGGGACGGGATGGAGGGGTACACATGCTGATGCTGATGGGAAGGGATGGAGAAGTACACATGCTGATGCTGATGGGACGGGATGGAGGGGTACACATGCTGATGCTGATGGGACGGGATGGAGGAGTACACATGCTGATGCTGATGGGACGGGATGGAGGGGTACACATGCTGATGCTGATGGGACGGGATGGAGGGGTACACATGCTGATGCTGATGGGACGGGATGGAGGGGTACACATGCTGATGTTGAGTGTCCCATCCTCCCCTCCACCCCCCCTCATCCTCTTCCTTACAATCCCCCATCCTCTCTTCCATCCCTCCTCTTTCAATTCCTCATTTCCCCACAATCCTCTTTCCATCCCCCATCCCATCAACCCACCCAGCTCCCCACCCCTCTCTCACCATCAGCAGCTGCTGCAGTGACTTCTTGTCACTCAGTTCTCGCACCCAAAACGGAACCTTCTGCAAGCCTTCCGCCCTCTTCCAGCCTCCCCCCTTCCCCTTTATCCAGCCCACCGCTCCCCCCACCCACCCCGTAGCTTGCCCCACCAGTGCCCCCACCCCCACCCCCCGCCCAGACGCTCCCCCAAACCCTCCCCCCGACCCTCCCCCCTGCCCCTCCGCCTCCCCCTTTGCCAGCAGGCGCGCCAGCACTGGCGCAACCCCCCCCTCCTTGAGCCCCTGCCACCCATGCTTCTGCCACGTCAGCTCCAGAAGAGACAAATGGTCGGCGAACTCGGGTGGCAGAGTGGAGGGGAAGGACGAGAGAGCGGATGCTCCACCCGCGGCAGAATCACCTGAAACACCACCTGAACCACCACCTGCAGCAGTTGCTGCCCCCACACCAGGTGCCTCACTCCCTGTTGTAGCTGTGGCGGGTGCTACAGCCGGCGCTACAGCCGCCACTGCCCCCTCCGCATCCTCTATTGTCACATCAAAGGCCGGCACTGTAGCGGGGGCAGCAGGTGCTGCAGCGATGGCAGCAGGAAGGGCGGTGTTGAGCGTCACATTCAGCTCCTGATTGGTCGCCAGACGGAAGAGGGGTGGAGGGCGGGAGGGGGGTAGCGGAAGGGGGGAGGAGAGAAGGGGGGCATTGGTAAAAGGTTGGGCTGGGGTAAGGGCGGATGGAGGGGGAGGAAAGGGGAGAAAGGGTGGGCGGAAAGGAAATGCAGCATGGGCGATGCGTGTGTGTGTGGGAAGGGATGGGAGAAGCTTTGAACTGATCGCAAAATAGACAAGACAAACGTTAAGCGAATCCACCAAGAAAGAAATAACGAAGCAGAAAAAAATCAACAAGAACAAAACAAACGAGCAAGCAATCAAGCAAAGGGACAACAAACTGCAAGAGTACCATTGCCATTCGTTGCAATCATGTCAACGCCGTAACATACTTTTTGAAGAACGCCAAACCAGCAATACCTTTTTAACGCAGCAACACACCTTCTTAATAATGTCAACACAGACGCACCTTCTTAATAATGTCAACACAGACGCACCTTCTTAATAATGTCAACGCACGACTCGCGGTCGCCAGAGTCCCAGAGCGCCACGGCGAGCCGCAGCTCGAGCTCCTGAATAAGACGAACGAGGCCGCCCGGCCCGAGAAACGCGGCGTCCGCCGTCACGCTCGAGAGCTTCGGCGACGCGTCGAGCGACTTAAGCGCCGACTTGCGCAGCGGCGCGGGCGAGGGGGAAGCGGGGTCCGCGGACGTGGGCTTGAGACCCGCGGCTTCGCGGAGAGTGGCGATAAGGGCGCGCGCCTCCGCGGTGTCCCCCGCCTCGATGGCTTGCAGCGCTGGTCGGGGGGAGCGCGGGTAGGGGAAGGCGGAGGGGACGGGGATGGGGAGGGGGAGGGGGACGGGCAACGGAAGGGGGAAGGCAGGAGGAGGCGCGGAGAGCATGCATGATTATGCGCGCGGAAAAGCGGAGTAGGTATGTGAACGGGGAAACGGAAGCAGATGCGAATAGGTGGAAATGGGAGCCTTAAACGTCGCTATTAATAGTAGTGCCTCTGAACAAGGATAAAGGGAGCAATAAGCGTCGCAAATGGCATCGCAGTGAATGTACCGCTAAAAAAGAGGTGCAGGAATCTTCCGGGAATGAGCGACGAGACAACCGCGGCACGGTCTGGCGAAAACGCGAATCGCTCGAGGGTCTCGAGCCACTGATGCTTCGCCACGTGCGACTCCATTGTCGAGCGACGCTCGCGAAAAAAGGTGTAACAAGTTCACAAACTTTATCGAGCACGGAAATAATATCACTATTTCTCAACGCATGGACAGTTCTATTAGAAACTTAGCTAACAGTGGAACCCAGGTAACGCGAAGACGAGCACATTCAAGAATCCCTCTCTAGTATGACTGATTAGCAAATTATACATTTCTGCAACGGAGCCTGCAGCTACTTCGATTGTGGGATCTGCTGAATTTTGTTCAAGCTGCCGAATTTCCTCTACCCATTGCTCCGTTTGTACGATGCAGAAAGGTTGCGCTACTACAATGCGCGATGCAGAGAGCTACAGCGCGGTAATCTCACATTCTTTGTGCGCGCAGGAATCTGCATTATCCGCTCCCCCCAGGCGCTGAAAAGAGACTTGATGACGAAATCCAGGTTACCATTTCAAGGGGCTGGCAGGGTCTGCCCGTGGGGAGAAGCCTATGCGCGACATCAATTTCGTCGAGCTCGCTTCTGACTAGGAAGGAAATCAGTGGCGGGGCGGAACGGGGGAGGGCGCGCGGAGTGGCGGAAGGAAATATGAACCGTACCGCCGATGGGGGGAAGGTTGCGTGTGGCATGACCTGGAGGAAGGTGCGGAGCGATTACCGAACAATTTTCATAACGAGGACACATTTTCGTGAGGATCACGCTTGGGGCCAACATCATAGACATGCAATATAGTATGGTAACCCTATTCGATTGTATGCAAAACCGTCGATACCCCAGTTCTGCTGCGCAAGTTTGTCTGGTTCCGCCACTCAAAACACTGTGTAACAGCAGACGCAGGACAATAAAGAAAAATATCGGTTGCGTTGACGATTTCGTATCTTCGTGGTTCTTACCGCGCCCCGTTCGGCGCCTAACAAATTTTCCTCCGGGCTACTATTTTCCGCTAAACGCGCACGATACATTTTACGAAAAATCCATTGGAATGAAACTACACGGGGTCCATTTTGAAAGAATATATTGCACCCAATAAATTGCTACCTGCATTTGTTAGGGCAGGGCTGAAAAACAATAAAACCCCTAGCGACCTGGACGCATTTCTGGGAGGGATCAACCCTAAACACGGGAAAGGACATAGTTTTAGGGTTGATGCCTCCCTGACGCATCCTTTCCGATTGGGTTTTATTATTTTCTTGGCCCGAAAAAATCACGTTTTAGTGCAAAGTCAAACGCGGTAGTCATAAGCTAAAAAATAAAAACGGCCATTTTCAGGTGCATGCCACTCAGTCTAGGAACACTATTCAAGTGCATGCCATGTTATTGGGCAGGTGTGTACACTTTACGCGGCTTAGAAATTTGATATCGTAAAATTACAGGCTTCCCAAGATTCGTTTAAAATTAGCACAAACAGTCGAGAATAGATGCGATTCCGGATTACGCAAATCGAAATCGGAATGGTTGGCTCTCGACACTGCATTTTCTGACGTTACCAGAAGCAATCATTGCATGTTGCCCGATTTCGACGCGAATTCCTGCTTCGCCCTTTTGACAAACTTAAATGCTAGATCAGCTGTACTGTTTACGCGGTTGACGGACGCTGCGCATGGCAAATCAACAAATTTTTCTAGGGCGTGCATAAACAGTACAGCTGATCTAGCATTTAAGTTTGTTCAAAAAGAGTTAGGGCGAAGCAGGAATTCGCGTCGAAATCGGGCAACATGCAATGATTGCTTCTGGTAACGTCAGAAAATGCAGTGTCGAGAGCCAACCATTCCGATTTCGATTTGCGTAATCCGGAATCGCATCTATTCTCGACTGTTTGTGCTAATTTTAAACGAATCTTGGGAAGGCTCTAATTTTACGATATCAAAATTCTAAGCCGCGTAAAGTGTACACACCTGCCCAATAACATGGCATGCACTTGAATAGTGTTCCTAGACTGAGTGGCATGCACCTGAAAATGGCCGAATTAAAAACGAACGCGCTATTAAGACAGCTTGTCAATAACTCCAAAACTGAGGTAAGACGGTTTTGCATACCATTGCATAGGGTTACCAGACTAAGTTGCATGTCTATGATGTTGGCCCATGACGCTTGACTGGCATTGCGGCCTACGGGGTGGAAAATCGATTGCGGTACACATCAGATGTTACTCAATATAAGGTGATTGCTTTGCAACCATGAGAAGAGCTGCAGTGAATTGAATCCTTACTTTCACCTTTAGCTCAAATATAAATTTGGAGGATTTGCTGCTTAGTTCGTGTGATGAGAAATTGACATTTCAAGCCGCCAACGCCTCGGCACAGGGATCCATGTCAGCTGCGCCATGCGCGCCGTCATCCATGCTCCCTTGGTGGAGCGGGGAAAGGGGTGGGTGGATCGTTACAAATGCCCCCCTTTTGGACCACGTGGCGACCCAAGCTGCATTCGCGACGTGCAATTCCGTTACCAGCGCCTGTGGAAGGTATGTTCCGTGCAATTGCAATCCCTGGTCCCCCAACCAAGCCCATCAGTATTCAGAACTCGGTACTTTCTGTTGCGACTTGAATCGCACAGTTTCATTTCCAAAGACGAGATTTCAACCAGCCCGAACGACAATAGTGCGGAAACTTGCCCGACCCTCTCAGATGAATCGAAATTCAAAATGCGCCCTACAGTCCAAAGGTTCTTCACGCTTTCAGTGTCAGCAGCCTTCAGCTTCGTTGCTGGTGAGGCTGCCAGCCCCGCAGTGAAAAAATACTTCGAAGCTCCGCCGCCACCTCCGCACCTTTCTTGTGTATATAACACTGACGCGACTCTCCTTTCCCAACATCGACTCTCGACTGACACAACTTCTCTTGCCACGACCAAAGATTAAGCCTTTAAACATTAAACCTTCGTCGTTAAGCCTAGCATTAAGAAAAGCTGAACCTTGTTCCTTCGTCCTCTTAGAAAGGAGAATGGGTTCGCCCTTGCTCACGCGCGTTAGCCTGCTACTCTCACTACTTGCATTCGCTGTTCTTCACTCCAGTGCCGTTCGCCTTATCCCCTCGCAAGAAAACGCTCTAATTTCCTTAAAAACCGCGTGGCGTGACTGCCCGATAATCAATACGTGGGTAGCCGGCACCGACTGCTCTGAATGGTACGGCGTCGGTTGTGACAACCGCGGGATGGTCACCGGTCTATACATCTCCAGCTACCTCGCAATGGGAAGGGCGTGCACCGGCGAGCTGACGGAATCCGTCGGGAAATTGACGGAGCTGACGTCGCTTGGTGTGTCTGGTATTTGGCGCATCTCCGGCAGTCTGCCCAAGAGCCTCGCGAAACTGAAAAAGCTCGAGTCGATCGCGATCGACGAGAACCTACACGGTGCTCTCTCCGGCAACCTCCCAGACTATATCGTCAATTTCGTCCGCCTGACGGAGCTCGTGCTCCAGGGAACGGGGCTCACAGGGAGCATCCCACGCAAGATCTCGCGACTCAGTCGCCTCACGCGCCTCGACCTCCAATGGAACCGTCTCAGTGGCGAAATCCCTCGAGAACTGTCCGCACTGGCGGCTCTCAAGACGCTTGATTTGGGCGGGAATCGGCTGACGGGATCGATTCCGCCATCCCTCGGCTACCTCACGGCTCTGACGAGCCTGCGTCTTGGGAGTAACAAACTCTCCGGCGCGCTTCCCGCAAATGTTATACTCGCTATGCAGAGCCTCCAGGAGCTAAATCTGCAGAGTAATCGGTTTACTCAGCAGGCTGCTTCGTCTATTGCCGAACTCGCAAGCCACCCGTCTCTCTCAGATATTGACCTCAGTTGGAACCTTCTTTCGGGAGGTGTGCCGTCGGAACTCGGGCAGATGAAAAAGCTGGAATACCTGAAGCTGACTGGGAATAGGCTGAAGGGATCCGTGCCCGCGGCTCTGATACAAAACATGCCGAAGCTGTACGACTTAGACCTGTCGTATAACAAGCTAAGCGGGGAATTCCCCTGGTCAGCTTTCAAAACCGCGCCAGCACTGGAGTTCGTGAGGCTCCAGCGCAACGCGTTCGTCGGCGAGATTCCCGCAGATGCGTTTAAGAAAAGCCACGTGGCACATTTCAACATATCCTTCAACCTCTTCTCGGGGTCCATGCCGAATCTATGGTTTATGGGCGGGGAGGAGGAGCCGCCAGTAGACGTGCGCGGGAACTATTTTTGGGGCAGCCCGGAGTTCACAATGTTCAACTACAAAGTCTGCCCGGAGGAGGGGCAAGAGGATCCCGAGTCAGGCGACGACGAGTATCTCGCGGCGCTGAACTGCCTCGGTAAGAGCGCCACGTGTAAAATGAAAGAGCAGCGGAGCGCGGCAGCGTGCAGGCTGTTTTGCGGGACAAGCAAGAAGAATGGGCCGTGTTCGGGCCACGGCGTGTGCGTTCCGGCAGGTGGAGGGGAGTTCAAGTGCAGGTGTAAGAGTGGGTACAAATCGGTGCAGGGAAAGCCGCACGAGTGCGTCAAGGCATGAAGCGTCAGATGCGTGGGCTGGTGGTGGTAGTTTTCAGATGCGTGTTGTGTGCTTGCGCGTGATATTATTTTAGGCTGTGAAGCGGGTTCAGATGTGGTTCGGGCAGCATACGATTGTCCAGTGCATGTATGTCAATAAAACATTTGTTCCTTTCGAAAAAAAAATACTACAACGTGCAAGTGGCACCAGCTCAAAGCAGTTCGCTGTGCTCACCAGGAATCGAGGAAGTATGCGCGTCTGTTCGCGTTTTGATCAGGAGTATGGCTTCGTAAATACCGAGTCTGGCTTGGGCCGAGTTTCCTGAAATACGTGTTGCTTGACCTCCTTCAAACTGTCCTAGAAGCCGAAAGCCACACGTGTTACGGCCAGACAATACGCCTCCCAGCTGGTGGATCTACTTCGGCGAAGCGAGAAATGTGAGACCCGTCCCTGGATTATATGGGCAGGTACAACATGCAAAATTGCTGATTTTACGACGACTGCTTTCTGGTGGCTATGCGCTTCAGCAAAAAAGCTTGCTCCTGCGCCTTTTGCGGGGTAGTGCTTGATCCCGATTCGCAGCTTCGTGGAGGAGCGAACAATGTACAGAGCAGCGACGGTTTGTGCAGAGTCACAAATGGGGGGAACTGCTTCAAAAAGGGTTCGAGTTACACGTTCGAGTTACACTGCTTCGCAGAAGCGGTTCGGGGAAGTCGAAGATTGAAGGGTGACTTGGCGACATTATTGGAGGGTCAGACAATTATTGCAGGCCCGTCGAGGTCAAGGACGTCGTGGCCTTGCGCACTGGTGGTCGGATATAATGCAACCCAAAAAATGTATACAAGGTAGCCTACACTTTGTAATGCAAAATCGTACGGTATACGCTAAGATGTTTGTAGTTGGTCTGTGGTGCGAACCCTTATCCAGTCCCTCAGCCAGGTAACAACCTGCGTGGCAACGAAAAAAAAAGATTTAAAAAGAGGGAAAAAAGGGGTTGAAGTCTCTACTACCGGAAACTTTCCTGTGAATTTTACCCAAATCACAACCCAAGCCCCAAGACAGCTATCCAGTCCTGAAGCCAACACATGCAGTTCGTCTGGTCCATGCACGGCCTGTGCTTGGGGTTGGAGGCAGGGCACAGAACTGCCAGTATTCGCCTTCCCCAATGAAATGACAAGGCACCTGCAAGCACATGATCATACAAATCTCACCTGACCCATAGATGGTCTATGCTTGGGGTTGGTGGCGAGGCAGAGCACTGCCAGCATAGACACTTGCTGCCTGCAGCTGAGCAGGGTCGAAACCCTCAATGCCCCTTGCTATTCTGTGCAAGACACCCACCTGGTCCATGGAAGGCCTTTCCTTGGGGTTGGAGGCGAGGCACAGCACATCCAGCATCGACACTGCCTGCAGCTGCGCTGGGTCGGATCAAACCTCTCTCAGTGCTTCTCGCTGACCTGAGCAAGAGACCCACCTGGTCCATGGAAGGTCTCTCCTTGGGGTTGGAGGCGAGGCACAGCACGGCCAGCATGGACACCGCCTGCAGCTGCGCTGGGTCGTAGCGTTCTTCCAGGCGGTAGTCCACGAGGCGCGTGAACTCCATGTTGTTGGCGATGGGGATGGCCTGTGAGTGGGAGGAGGGGGTGCAAAGCGGTGACAACTTGATGCACTGCACAAAGGGTATCGAAGCGACCCTCCAATCGGTCGGTAGTCCATGAGGCGCGAGAAATCCATGTTGTTGGCGATGGGGATGGCCTGACGGAGTGATGAGGAGGGAAAGTTCCGAGAGCAGTGAAAGCACTGTGACTGACAAGCATTCTGCATGACCTCCTGGTTCGCCTAAGAAGGGTATCAAAGCGACCCTCCAGGCGGTAGTCCGCGAGGCGAGTGAACTCCATGTTGTTGGCGATGGGGATGGCCTGACGGATTGACAAGGATGGGTGCCAACGGGGGATAAAGGGTGTTGAGCGCCTGAGTTGCCTTAGTAAGAGGGTCAAAGCAACCCTCCAGGCGATAGTCCACGAGGCAAGTGAACTCCATGCTGTTGGCGATGGGGATGGCCTGCAGGAGTGATGTTGACAAGGGGATGAAACGGGCTGAAAGGAGCTGAAAGGGGCTATGCACATCGCGATTTAAAGGTGGCGAATGAGAGAGGAGAGAGAGTGAATCTGGCGGAAGAGGAGTGAAGGGATAAAAAGGAAAGATAGGAAAGAGCAAGGAAAGCAGGAAAAGAGAGGGAGAAAAGGGAGGAGAGGGAGAAGAGGCAGGAGAGAGGGAGAAGAGAGGGATGAGAGAGAAAACATATGAGGGACTGCAGGGGGAGAAGAAAACGGCTTACCCAGGCAGAGAGGTTGGGGGGCTGCCTGCCGGGATGGAAGGGCACATGACCCGTTATAAGCTCCAGAAGAATGACTCCAAACGCGTACACGTCTATTGCTGCTGTTATGAGCCCTGTTTGCACGTACTCTGGTGCCACGTAGCTGGCAAAAGGGCAGCAAGTGGAGAGGTGGGGAGAAGACGAAGGAAGAGTTGACGCATTTCTATGGGGAATTTAGCCCCAAGGGCACACCAAGGCACGTCTATTGCTGCTGTGATGAGCCCTGTCTGCACGTACTCTGGCGCCACATAGCTGGGAGCGCGGCACAGCGGGGGAAGGCGAGGGGAGTGCGGCACAGTGGGGGAAGGGGAGGGGAGCGCGGCACAGTGGGGGGGAAATGATGTTTGAGACGCCTCAATGCACGTCTATTCCAGCTGTGATGAGCCTAGTTGGCACGTACTCTGGTGCCACGTTACTGGCATGAGGGCATCAGGGGAGGGAGGGGGGAGTGGGGAGAAGGAGGAGGAAGAGGTGATGCAGTTCGAAAAGCCTAAACACCTGAAGGCGCCTCAAAAACGCCCTGTTTGCATATACTCTGGCGCAAGGTAGATGGCAGAAAGGGCTGGGGGAGAGGGGGGCCAACAGAGAGAAGAAAGCTATGTGGCTAAAGACGCTCAGGGCGTCTTGTGTCTTGATGCAGCGTCCAGACGCAGGACGCAAGACGCCCGCCAAGACGCAAGACGCTTGGCAGGTTATTTTCCGGGCAGCTCGAAAAAAAAAAGGTGAAATTTTGACCACCCCCCCCTTCCCCCTCCCCCCCCCCCCCCCCGCCCCAACCAATTCGACTTAGAGAAACAGCACCAAAACCTAAATTGTAACTCCCCCCAATCCAAATTGAAAGCACATCCCAAATCAACCGCATTGCATCCAGAAAACCCAACCAAAGTGGGTCACCACCATGAGCAATAAGGAGCACAAATGCTTCATTCGTGCTCCTCCACTGTCACTTCAATTCAATTCTCTTAAAAAAACACTTGAGGGTTTAGCTAATCTCTCTTCTCCACTCTCACTATATCATGTGTTATGAGATGTGATTTTAGCATGTGACTCTAAGGGAAAAAAATCATGTGGAAAAACTTCGAGGGGGGGGGATTATCTCACATGATCGCTACGTCCTTCTCCACCCCCTCCCGATGCCCTAAAACGATTCTTTCGGCTGCTTAGAGGTTTTTTTTGCCTGCCCGGGCTTGCGTCTTTTTTCTGCGTCTAACTAGCCCCAACTGGGCGTCTAGCGTCTTAGACGCAGCGTCTGGACGCTAGCGTCGAAGTCGCTAAAAGCATCTTTCGTCAAATAGGAAGAAAGATGCAGAAGCAAAAGGATGGGATGAGAGAGATGGGGGTTATAAGGGGGATGAGGGAGCAAGTAGCGTATGACACCTACAAATAGTAGCAAGTAGCAAGTAGTGTGATGGTAAAAAATGTTAGAATCAGGAGGTAGAGCTTAGGAGTGAGCTTAGGAGCCATGGCTAGGAGGGGAGTTCCGAGAGTAGCTTAGAAGCGAGATTGAGAGAATGAAGAGAGATTCACTATTGGGTTAAGAGTACAAGTAGGAAATGACGAGAGGTGCACCACCAAACATGATATAATAACTACACTAGTCTCTACAGTAGGCAGTAATATAATGGCATACAAATACATTTCAACACACTCCTTACCTGCCGGCAATGGGAACCATGTGCAGCAACACCTCCTGAAGAAACTCAACACCTTCAATTTCTCTTCAAGAGGTGTTGCTACACATGGTTCTCACTGCAGGCAGTTAGGGAGTATGTTGAAATGTATTTGTATATCGTTATATAACTGTCTACAGTAGACCCTAGTGTAGTTATTATATCCTGTTTGGTAGTGCATCTCTCGTCCTTTCCTATTTGTACTCCGAATTCAATAATGAATCTCCTTTCATTCTCCCAATCTCGCTTCTAAGCTACTCTCGTAACTCCCTTCCTAGCCGTGGCTCCTAAGCTCACTCCTAAGCTCGCTCCTAAGCTCGCTCCTAAGCTTTAGCTCCTCATCTTAACAAGGGGGGTGGTGCCCACGATGCTGGTAACCGCCATCGGCTGGGAGTAACTAGGCTAGGCAGTCAAGATGCTTATGTGACTATAGGATGTGACAATAACAAAGGCTCACCCTTCGGGTGCCCATGATGCTGGTAACCACCATTGGCTAGGACAAATAGGCTATACACAGTATGAGTCTTAGTACGAATGAAAAAAATAGATGGTGAATCACAAACTCTGGTGCCCATGATGCGAGTAACTGCCATGGGCTGGGTGTAAGTAATAACTAACTAGGCTACACACTAAGCATGCTTTTATGACTAACTACATCGAGTGTAACAATAAATCTCACTCTTGGGTGCCCATGATGCTGGTAACGGCAATGGGCTGCGTGTTTGTTACTGGCCTGATGCCACCTTGGCTGCAAGTCATGCTATCATGCTAGTAGTAGCGTGACTATAGCGAGAGACTGTAACAACAATGAAGGCTCACCCTCGGGTGCCCATGATGCTGGTAACTGCCATTGGCTGGGTGTACTGGTCTGAAGCCACCTTGGCCAGGCCAAAATCGGAGACCTAGTGAGGACGCGGGAGGGGAAGAAGGAGAGAAAAATGGGGAGAGCACATCCATTTCTTCTTGAGGTGGTGTTTCTAGCGGCACCTCAGAAAGTATGGGCGTGGAGAATTAAGAGAGAAATACCTTCTTAGCAGGGCATGATTAAGAGAATAACAATCATCTGACGCCACCTCGGCCAAATCAGGAAAGAGGAGCAGGGGGTAGCAGGGCATGGGACTTGCACTGACCAGTGTTGACTCATTAGAGCGTGCATGTTGGCAGCCAGCAGCACGTTGGCAGCCTTCACATCCCGATGGATGATGGCCGAGAAGGCTGACCCAGTGCCTTTGACTTGCGTTGACCAGCATTGACTGACCAGCCTTTGACCAGTGTTGACTAGTGTTGACTCACCAGGGCGTGCACGTTGGCATCCAGCAGCACATGCCGCCTGCACATCCCGATGGATGATGGGCGAGAAGGCCAACGCAATGCCGTAGACTCACATTGACTTGCAATGACTGGCTTTGACCAGTGTTGACCAGCATTGACCAGCCATTGACCCACGTTGACTCACCAGGGCGTGCATGTGGGCATCCAGCAGCACGTTGGCAGCCTTCACATCCCGGTGGATGATGGGCGGCCGGCACGCGTGCAGGAAGGCCAGCCCGGTGGCCGCCTCACAGGCGATGCGCATGCGCAAATCCCAAGGTAGAGGCGGCTTCGTATGATCTGTCACACGGAGAGGAGGGAAATGGGGATTTTGCTTGTCAGATGCAGGGGCCGTCTGGGTCACATGCAGACTGGAGGCACGCGTGCAGGAAGGCCAGCCCGGTGGCCGCCTCACAGGCGATGCGCATGCGCAAATCCCAAGGTAGGGGGGGCTTTGTATGATCTGTCACACGGAGAGGAGGGAAATGGGGATTTTGCTTGTCAGATGCAGGGGCCGTCTGGGTCACATGCAGACTGGAGGCACGCGTGCAGGAAGGCCAGCCCGGTGGCCGCCTCACATGCGATGCGCATGCGCAAATCCCAAGGTAGAGGCGGCTTCGTATGATCTGTCACACGGAGAGGAGGGAAATGGGGATTTTGCTTGTCAGATGCAGGGGCCGTCTGGGTCACATGCAGACTGGAGGCACGCGTGCAGGAAGGCCAGCCCGGTGGCCGCCTCGCAGGCGATGCGCATGCGCAAATCCCAAGGTAGGGGGGGCTTTGTATGGTCTGGTGGGGGAAAAGGAACGGGAATGAGGAAGTTTGGCTCGGTTTGTTGTTTTTTGAAAAAGATTATCAGGAGAGGGGTGACAAGGGAAATCAACCTGGTCACTTCTGGGAAGCGAGCCGCTATCAGGGCACGAGTGCAGAAAGGCCAGCCCAGTGGCTGACCCACAGGCGATGCGCATGGGCAAATCCGGGTGCGGGGGCTGGCTTTGTATGGTCTGCCACACGAAGGGGATAAAGATAAGTTTTTGATGGGCCAGGCATTAGGGAAGAAAGGCCAGCCTGGTGGCCGACCCACAGGCGATGTACACGGGCTGATCCCAAGGGACCGGGGCCTTTATATGGTCTGGTGGGAGAAAGAACGGGAACAAATTGGTAAGTGGGTGGGGTTGATTTGGTTTAGTCTAAAAGGGCGGCCCCGTCTAAAGCGATTCAAAAAAAGCCTCTTGCAAGGAGTTGGAGACGCACGCACCCACCCACGCACGCACGCACGCACGCACGCACGCACGCACGCACACACCCACCATCAGCAGCTGCTCCCCCCGTCACGCACACGCGCAGCACCCTGCACTTCCCAAGCCCTGCATCTCACCCCCTCAGAAAACAGTCCTCCCTCGGATTCCCTCATACGAGCCTTGTCTCCAGATAACCATTGGAAAAAAACTTCTAACACCGTCTGGAACCCCCCCCGCAGTCGCACACCCACGCCGTAACCCACGTCCTTACCCAGTGCATACTGATACTGCTCTTCCTTCCCACCCTTCACCTCTCTTCGTTCAAAGTGACCGAAGGAGGGGTTCCCCTTCCCCTTCGTTCAAAGGAGGGGTTCCCTCACCTCAAACAGTCACCCTCTGGGGTTCCCTCACCTCAAACAGTCACCCTCTGGGGTTCCCTCACCTCAAACAGTCACCCTCTGGGGTTCCCTCACCTCAAACAGTCACCCTCTGGGGTTCCCTCAACTCATACAGTCACCATCTGGGGTTCCCTCGCCTCAAACAGTCACCCTCTGAGGTTCCCTCAACTCATACAGTCACCATCTGGGGTTCCCTCGCCTCTTAGCCTCGTTTCAAGCGACCCATTGGGCAGGAAGTCAAACACCATCAGCAGTTACCGCACACGGCCCAGCAGGCTGGGGTGCCGAATGCGCCTCAGCACGTGCATTCAGCAGCCCTTAGAGGGGAGTCCCTTACCTCTCAGCCTCGTCTCCAGCGACCCATTTGGCAGGAAGTCAAACACCATCAGCAGCTCCCCCGCCATGGCACACACCCCCAGCAATCCTAGCAGGCTCGGGTGCCGAATGCACCTCCTCTTGCCCTCTGCCCCATCCTTCCCACCCCTTACCTCTCAGCCTTGTTTCCAGGGAGCCATTTGGAAGGTAATCAAAGACCATCAGCAGTTCTCCTGCTGTCGCACACACACCCAGCAGCCCCAGCAGGCTCGGGTGCCGAATCCTTCTCAGCACGCGCAGCTCCGCCAGAAACTGCCGAGCATTTGCCGCCCCCTGCACGTCCGCTACAGCCGGGCCCCACCACCGTAGCCTCTTCACCGCTACCTTCCGACAGCCCCCACTGGCCCCCCCACTGCTGCCTCCCCCCCCTGCGCCCCCCCCTGCTGCGCCTCCCCCTGCGCCCCCCCCTGCTGCGCCCCCCCCTGCTGCGCCTCCCCCTGGTCCGCCCTCCCCCCACGCCCCTCTCCCCCATCCGTCGCTCTCCCCACCCTGGGATTCCACCTGAGGGCACCTGCCAGGTGGAAGCATACCCACAAACACCTGACCGCTGCCGCCCTCCCCAATCAATCTCCGCGGGGAGAAATTATCCGTGGCCAATAGGAGCTCGTCAAGGTAAAATTCCTGCTGCCCGTACTCGTCCTGCCCGTAAACTTCTCGAATGATTTCGGTTGGTGGGGCAGGGGGGACTGGGGATGGGGGAGGGGCGAAGAAATCCTGGCCGTTGGATTGGGACCGGGGAGATCTGGGACATTGCTGCCAGCCCCCACTGTCCCCTCCCCCTCCCCCCATCCCTCCCCCTCCCCCCATCCCTCTCGCCACTGCTGCTCCCCCCATTTGTCCCCCCATTGGCCCCCCCATTGCTCCTCCCATCGCTGCTCCCCCCATTGCTCCTCCCCCATTTGCCCCTCCGCCCCCACTGAACCCCCCTCCGTATCCCCCTGAACCTTGCCCGGCTCCCCCTGCCGCCAGGCCACTCCCCCCTCCCCCTCCCCCTCCCCCTCCCCCTGGGTCTATCCGCGGAGATTGTGGGGAGGTAGGCGGAACTGGCACTTTTCCTGGCAGCGTGAGGGATAAAGGCAAAGACAAGGGGAATGGGGGACAAGCGGCCAGCGGACGGAGGAGAGGGGCGGGGAAAGCGGGAAGAAGGGGATCGAAAGAACGGATGAGGAATGAAAGGGGGGGGAACGGTGTGCGTGGTTGAGCATTGAGACAGTCCCAAACGAGCGGGAGTAGAGAGTATGATGGGTGGTATGATGCATGATGCATGATGCATGCATGATGCGCGGAGAGAGGAGAGTGGATATGAGCAGGGAGGTGAGTGGGAAGAAAGAGATGTGGAAGGCAGCAGGAAGGTGAGCAGAGTCGACACACTCATTTTCGTCATGGCTGCCATGTCAGCAAACCTGCCTTGTCTTGTAGCGGAGCAGGCGTTATTTGAGACGAGCATGATCTTGCAGCTGGCCGGCAGCCGGTCGGCGAGGAACGTCATCATGTCCACGTCAGACCCGGCACTACCACTGATAAGAGAATTACGAACACACCAAATGAAAGAATGGGGGTGAGAGGGGCGCCTAAAACATTGCCACTGAAAGGAGAACAACAAAATGGAAGAATGGGGATGAGAGAGCTTTGAGACTCCTCGGAAGAGAAAACAGAGGTGAACTATTTGGGGAGGAGGGACACTTGAGAGTAATCTCAATAAAAGATCACTCGCTACAAACAAGCTCACTTTGTGCACCAGAAAGCCACTATAGACAGGCTCATTTTAAGCATACTCAATTACGCTATATGTATGACAGTGCGCCACGCCAGCCCTACGACAACCAGGCAAGCAGCAACAGAAATTCCCCATAAAAAACACTCGTTACAAGCATTCACCCTAGAATAGTGATGGTGCGTTGCACAGGCCCTATGATCACCAGGCCTGCCTTGAGCAGCTTTGCTTCAGAGAACATGGAAACACATTACCACCATTCTCGTTATAGGCATGCTCACTCACCCTATAAGAGTGATGGTGTGCCGCACGGGCCCTATCACCACCAATCCGGCCTTGAGCAGCTTTGCCTCGTACAACAACGAACCACTATAATCAGTCTCGTTTAAGCACACTCACTCACCCTATGAGAGTGATGGCGGGTCGCACGGGCCCTATGACCACCAGCCCCGCCTTGAGCAACTTTGCGTCATAGAACAGGAAAACACATTACCACCATTCTCGTTATTGGCATGCTCACTCACCCTATAAGAGTGATGGTGCGTCGCACGGGCCCTATGACCACCAGCCCTGCCTTGAGCAGCTTTGCCTCGTAGAGCAAGGCATCTCTCACACGAGGGGCCGAGCGCACGACGACTTCGAGAGAGATCTGGTGGAGAGGGGTGGGATGCGGTGCAGAAGAGTGGATGGTGCCTCAAACTCTGCCTGCCCGCCTTGAGCAGCTTTGCCTCGTACAGCAAGGCATCTCTCACACGAGGGGCCGAGCGCACGACAACTTCGAGAGTGATCAGGTGGTGGAGAGGGGTGGAATGGGGTGCAGAACAGTGGATGGTGCCTCTAAATTGGCCTGCCTGCCTTGAGCAGCTGTGCCACATAGCGCAAGGCACCATGCACACGAGGGAATGAGAGCACGATAACTTGGAGAGCGGTCTGGTGGGTGGAGAGGGGTGGAATGCGGTGCCGAACACAGCGAATGGTGGTAGCTTAGATAGCCTCCCTGTCTTCAGTGGCTTTGCAGTGCAAAAGAGCTTCGTGCACGCGGTAGGAATTGAATGCGCCGAGCACTTGAGGTGCAAAACATGTATAACAGGAGTTCATGCAAAGCCTTCGCATACAGCAATGAGGCCTTGTTTTGAGTCAACTCAAAACTCGTCCGTTACAGCATAACCACACAGCGCACTCACCTCTTCACCTGCAGCCCTGCCAGAAACTGTTGATTTCTAGAGACAGCTGCACTGCAGGACCTCCTGTTGCAGGGTAACCAGCCAGAGACCGTGACTTGCTCGCCTGCTTCCCTACTCGTCCACCTCTGTCTTGGGGTGCAGTGCTGCCAGCATCTGGATATTGGTGCATGAAATCGTGTTACAGAGTAACCAGCAGCCGTATCTCCTCACCTGCTTCACCTCCTTCCAACGGGTAACCAAACACAACATCCGCCCTCTCACCTGCTATGCCGCCGCCACCTCAATCTTGGGGTGCTGCCAGCATTCTCTGTCTCGCGTCCTCCTCCTCCCACAGTTCCAGAAGAACCACGTACCCTCGCCTTCTCACTCACCTGCTTGGCCGCCGCCAGCTCTATCTTGGGGCGACACCAGCATTCTCTGTCACCTAGAGGTTACAGAGTAACCAGATGCCATACCATCCCTCTCACCTACTTTCCCTCCTTCCTCACCTGCTTTGCCGCCGCCACCTCGATCTTGGGGTGCAGGGCTGCCAGCATGTGCTGTCGAATAGCTGCTACATGGTATCCAGATGCCACACCCTCACTCCCTCCTCACCTGCTTGGCTGCCGCCACTTCGATCTTGGGGTGCAGGGCTGCCAGCATCCTCTGACTCGCGTCCTCCTCCTCCTCCCCGTCCTGCTCCGAGTTGAACCGTGCCTTGCGCGACCCTGGTGCACACAGGCAGGGCAAAGGGAAAGCGGAAGGCAAGACGAAGAGAAGTGCGTGAGTGTGTCCACTTTACTCCTCCTCCTCCTCCCTCTCCTGCTCTGAGTAACCCTGGGCAACGGGCATGCAACAAGAGAGAAGCGAGTGAGCAACCTCCTTCCTTCGCACAGGTTCCCTTCTTCTATGCTCACTCCATTCCCCTTCCCCTCCCCCTTCCCCTTCCCCCTTCCATCCGTGCCTTGCGCTGAGTTGTACCGAGCCTTGCGCTACCTGAGGGGAGGGGGACGAGCCTGGCCACTGCGTGGGGGGAACGCACCTGAGGAATGCGGGGGGATTGGGGAGGGCGGACCTGAGGACCCGGAAAGAGGGGGGGGCACGCACCCGTGAAGTGTGGGGCGCGGAAAACTGGGACAGCCATGGCAACGATTCATTCCCCAGGCACCACCGGCCGTGTGAGAGTGAACTCCACCAGCGCCTGCCCCTCCCTCGAGATTGCCGTGCCGCGCCTCAGGACTGCGGAGCGCGCCAATTTGGATGATTTCCCCTCCTGATCTAGTCCAATTTATGATAACTAGCAGAGTGGGACGAACACACCTGCGGACTGCGGGGAGGGGAGGGGACTATTCGACTGCTGAGGAAGAGCGAACGGACCTGTGGATTGCGGGGCTCGCACAATCCGGACGGCCATGGCGACAATGCGATCGCCAGGCACCACCAGCCGCGCGAGGGTGAACTCCACTAGCGCCTGCCCCTCCCTCGAGATTGCCGCACCTCAGGACTGTTGGTGGGGCTGGGGCACCTGAGGATTGCTGGGAGGGGAACGCACCTGAGGTCTGCGGGGCGCGCACGATTCGGACGGCCATGGCAACAATGCGATCCCCGGGCACCACCAGCCGTGCGAGGGTGAACTCCACCAGCGCCTGCCCCTCCCTCGAGATTGCCGCTGCCGCCGCCGCCGCTGCTGCTGCTGCTGCTGCCGCCCCACAGGAGGTTCGCGTTGGGCTGGTGCAGTCGCACCCCCACCAGTACCACCTTCCCCGCCGCCGCCGCCGCCGCCGCCGCTGCCGATGCTGCTGAGAGCTGTCGGGAGTGACGTCATGCCGACGAAAGGCGAGAGGGGGAGGGTGGTACGACTGCCGGAGTGTGTCGTGAGGTAAGTGACGTCACGCGTCGTCAAGTGACGTCAGGATGGCGGATGTGAGATGTGAGAGGGGGGTGATTGAAGACAACGGTAGGAGACGGGATGGGCGATTCGACGCTTAAACGAAGGTGATTATGGCGGGGTTCTGTCGCCGAGGGAGTCACATGCAACGATCAAAAACGGGCGAGGGTGACTGTAGCGAAGGCGCGAGGTTAGCGGCGTGAAATCGACTTTCTTCTACTGAAAGTCTGCGCTATGGACCAAAGATGTTGAAAACAAATTTGGTACAAAGCGGCTAGACGCTGTAAACAAAGGAAACGACTCGCTGGACGTTGCCTGTTTCTTCCCGCGCATGCCCGTTATCTATTTCCGGATTCCAGGAAATAGGTGCAAGTGAAATGGTGTCGGCGGTGCAAAGCGTCGCCATTTTTGGTCAGTCGGATGCAGCAGGGTATCAGGTGAAGGGCGCGTGCACACTTGCTCCCGTCTCGAGAACTACGCTGCATTTTCTTGCTCGCCATTGCATGAAAGGCACAGCCTCGTTGCTGCTTGCTTTGAACCAGGGTAGGAACAAAGGGTTCGAGTCTCTGTGCTGTAGCAATATCGAAGCAAGCTCGAACCGAACCAGGGGCCATAGGGATCCTTGCCAAACTTGGCAATGGGTGTGATTGGTGTATGCGACACAGGCAACTTGGGCACCGACCGACCTGAAAGGGCAGTAGTGAACGCGAAAGATCGCATCACCTGACTGGCCAGCTGTAACTGGGCCTGATCTTCGATCGAAATGCTCGTCTTTGGTCATCCACTTTGATCGACGGCTATAATTGGCTTTTCTTTTCTGGTACAAGTCAGCATTCGCACTATCCAGCCAACCAGCTGTCAGCTGCAATGTCCCCGTGAATTACCAGCATATGAGCATATGTACCGAGAAGAACCGTGCTCAGAAACCAACAAATCGAATTGCTGACAGAAAACGCGAGAGCGTTATTTGTTCTCTGGACACGACCTGAGTCTCATGAAGTCAGGCGAAAATTGAGCTACGCAAGAAGCCAATTGGTATTTCTTCCCAACAGCCATGGCTCACGACTGCCAGTGGAGCTGACGCGTGAGGTACCCCAACTCGCAATCCGAGCCGTCAGCTTGGGAGAAATCCCTCTCCCTTTTTTCACGACTCAATTCATTGGAGGAACTGTGGGCTTCATGGCGGATCCATAGGACTTTCTGGGTGATAGGAAGTTCCTGTAACTGGCTTGGACAGTTAGGGTTCCGATGAGGACAGTTAGCGGAGCCAGGGACGGCTGATCTCGGGAAGGATTTCCAACGGGGTCAACCGCACCATAAGCATTTCCATTATACGGGCAGTTTTTCTAGTTCAACAATTAGATTGATTAGAGCAGCTTTCAGGTCTGGTTGACATCGTAACGCCGTCGTAGCACTTAGTCGTCACTTAGATCAGTCTTCATTCTCTGCCGTTTTGATTAGAGCTCTCGTCGTTAAGTGCGGTCCAGCTGTCTTTCTCTTTAGACCTGTTCTCGGTTCCCGCCCCCCGGTTCGGTCCGTCGCAACCGAACCTTGCATGAGGGCCGGGCTACGTCGGGCGACGTCGGCGACTTAGGCGACGCATGCGACGTAGGCGACGAGGCTAGAGAGCGATGCTGAGCGTGCTGCGAGTGCATCTGCCATCGGACATCCCGATCGCGGGGTGCGAGCTGTGCCCGTACGTGCTGCTGCGGAAACCTGATGGCACCATCACCACGGAGGACATCCCCGAAACCAACCCCATCGATGGCTACTACATCCGCTGCCGCTGGTACGGGGAATAACGTCGAATGAATTGAATGAATGGAGTGCGTTGACTGCGTTGAATGAATTGACTTTGAGCCGACTAGAAAAAACTGGAGGCATTTCTGACACCAACCCCGTCAATGGCTTCTGCATCCGCTGCCGCTGGTACAGGGAATGCGTTGAATGGATTGAGTACCTTGTCCAGAGCGACCTGCGCATCGCGTAGTGTTCCATGCACGGCAGCAAGCCCGCTTCGCTGCAACCCTTATCAACCCCATTCCACCGCACCCCCCGTCTCCGCCTCCCCATTTCCCGCTCTCCCCTCCCCCCTTTCCCAGGTACCGCGTGCAGAGCGACAAGCGCGTCGCCGTGTGCTCAGTGCACGGCAATGAGCCCGCCACTCTCCAGTGCCTGGGGTGCGTGAAGGCGAAGCTGCCCATCGCCCCATATGCCCCCCTCCTCCCCTTCTCTTTCCATCAGGTACCGCGTGCAGAGCGACAAGCGAGTCGCCGTGTGCTCAGTGCACGGCAATGAGCCCGCCACTCTCCAGTGCCTGGGGTGCGTGAAGGCGAAGCTGCCCATCGCCCCATATGCCCCCCTCCTCCCCTTCTCTTTCCATCAGGTACCGCGTGCAGAGCGACAAGCGAGTCGCCGTGTGCTCAGTGCACGGCAATGAGCCCGCCACTCTCCAATGCCTGGGGTGCGTGAAGGCGAAGCTGCCCATCGCGCGCAGCTACCACTGCTCGCCGCTCTGCTTCCAGGCCGCCTGGCCGCGCCACCGCGCGCTGCACTCGCGCGGGCTCGGCGGAAGCACCCATGGCAGCAGCGATGGGACGCTCCCGGGGGAGGTGACCTCCGGGGGGGCTGCTGGGGGGGGCGCGGGGGGGGCTGGCGGGGCGCAGAGGCGCGAGAACGGCGCGGGCGCGGAGGAGGAGGAGCTGTTTGGGAAGTTCAACAGCGGGAATGGGACCACGGGGCTGGCGGGAGCGGGGGGGGCGCAGGGGGGCATGGGGAACGGCGCGCCTGGGGGCGGGTACGGGCAGGGGGAGCAGCAGCAGGGGGGGCAGCAGCAGGGGATGCAGGGGATGCAGCGGCCGATGGGGGGAGGATTCGCGCACAGGCCTCCAGGAAGCCTCGCCTATCAGTCAGACAACACCGGAGGGGGGGGTTCCAATCTCAACTCTAGTGGTGGTGGCAGTGGGGAGGTGTGGTTCGAAGTGGGGCGCGGGAAACCCTACACACCCACCACGGACGATGTAGGGCATGTTCTCAAGCTCGAATGTGTCCCCATTGAAGCAGCTACCGGTCTCCCCGTCGCGCCCCCCTCCACCCTCCTCACCTCCCGGGTCATCCCTGCCCCGTCCCCCACGCCCCGGCGGATGGTCCCTGTGGGGGGCGGGGAGGGGGAGATGGGGGGCGCGCGCGGAGGGGCAGGGGGAGGGGGGGGCTTCACGGTGCTGTCGTATAATGTGCTGGCGGATCTGTATGCGACGAGTGAGATGTACAGCTACTGCCCTCCCTGGGCGCTGTCGTGGGCCTATCGCAAACAGAATCTGCTGAGGGAGCTGCTGGGGTATCGAGCTGACATCATGTGCTTGCAGGAGGTGAGACAGTGTGCTTGTAACGAGTGTGAGTGTGCTTGTAACAAGAGGGGGGGCAATGGGCACGAGAAGGGATTGATGGTGCTGTCGTATAGTGTGCTGGCGGACCTGTATGCGACGAGTGAGATGTACAGCTACTGCCCTCCCTGGGCGCTGTCATGGGCATACAGGAAGCAGAACTTGCTGAGGGAGCTGCTGGGATACCGAGCCGATATCATGTGCTTGCAGGAGGTGAGTGTGCTTGTAACGAGCGTGGTTATAATGAGGGTGGGGTGTTGTAGCGGGTATGCAATGCAGTGGGTATTGCAAGCAGAATCTGCTGAGAGAGCTGCTGGGGTACCGCGTGATATCATGTGCAAGTCAAGTAAATCATGCAATCCCCCTTCCTCCCCATTCCTCCCCCTTCCCCCCCCTCCCTCCCATTCCTCCTCCACTTTCCCCCACCCCGCTTCCTCCCCCCGTCCCCCCAACAAACGAACTGCAGGTGCAGAGCGATCGCTTTGAGGAGCGATCGCTTTGAGGAGCTCTTTGGACTTGCGCCGCTCCACCCTTCTCCTCTCATACAAATTCTTTCCTCCCCCTCCCTCACCCCCGCTTCCACACCTGCCATCAGCGAACAAATTTGCAGGTGCAGAGCGACCGCTTTGAGGAGTTCTTTGGGCCGTGTTTTTTGAGAATTCTCAAAAAACAAGAGCGACCGCTTTGAGGAGTTCTTTGGGCCGAGCTGCCCGAGCTCAATGGTGCTGTAGTGAGCACCGCACTCCACTCCACTCCACACCTCTCATTCAATCCCCTCCTCCCTCTCCCCCCACTCCCTCTTACCATCTGCAGGTGCAGAGCGACCACTTTGAGGAGTTCTTTGGGCCAGAGCTGGAGAAGCAGGGGTACGCATCCGTCTTCAAGAAGAAGACTGCTGAGGTGGGTTGCTGGGGCATGTTCGTGGTGTGGTGTTTGGGCTTATGCATGGGACACAGCGAGCTGGAGAAGCAGGGGTACGTGTCCGTGCTCAAGAAGAAGACAGCTGAGGTGTGTGTGTGGGGCTGGCTTGCTCCTTTCTGTGGTGCTGTGGCATTTGTGTGTGGTTTGGGATCGAGGTGGAGAGTGAATGCAGCGAACTGGAGAAGCAGAGCAGGGGTACGCGTCCGTGTTCAAGAAGAAGACTGCGGAGGTGCGTTGGTGGCTGTGGCTGGCTCCCTGGTGTGCGGAGTGTGGTGAGTGGGATTGGAGCTGGAGTGTGAATGCAGGGAGCTGGAGTGTGAATGCAGCGAGCTGGAACAAAAGAAGCCACTCATGCCATCCCATGCATGGCACAGGAAGTTATGTCCCGCTCCCCAATCCCCCTCATTTTCCCATCCTGCTCGTCCTCACCCCCAGGTATACACAGGCACGGCCTACGCCATAGACGGCTGTGCGACCTTCTTCCGCCGCGACCGCTTCTCCCTCGTCAAGAAGTACGAGGTGCGCGCTCGATGGGGGGGGGGGAGTCAGGGTGAGGGGTGTACGCCCTTGGGGAGGGGCGAGAGGTGAGAGAGGTGTGCGCACCTGGAGGGTGTGTGGTGCATGAGGTGCGGCCCCAGGGGGAGGGAGGGAAGGGGGGGATAAGCGGTACGTACTAAGCGAGGGGATGTATGATATTTTGCCTATCCCTCGTCAAGAAGTATGAGGTGTGTACTGTGTGTGTGGGGCTTGGGTGTCATGAGTGGCCGTTGTTATGAACGCTGGGCGTTTGAGCAGTGTGGGCGTTTGAGCAGTGTGGGCGGTTGAGCAGTGTGGGCGGTTGAGCGCTGTTGGGTGGTGAGCGCATGCATGCTTTCATCCCACTGTCCGTCCTTCCTCCTCCCCGCATTCCCCCTTCATCTCTCTCACTCGTTCATCAGCAGATGGAGATCAACACTCAGCTCCCTCACGCTCACCTGTTATCTCACTCCCCTCCCGCCTCTCTTCATCTCTCCTTCATATTCCCCCTCACATCTCTCCTATCCACCCGCAGGTGGACTCCTCACATCTCAGCAAGGCAGCTCTCTCTCTCACGTCCACGTTTTCATCTCACTCCCCTTCCGTCCCGTCTCCCTCCCCTCGTCTCTCCTTCACAACTCTCCCTCATATCTCTCCGATACGACCACAGGTGGAGTTCAACAAAGCAGCTCTATCGCTGTCTGAGGCCCTCGCACCTCCCACCAAGAAGGCTGCTCTCAACCGCTTGCTCAAGGTACATTTGTTTGTTCTTAAGAATTCTCAAAAGTACGCCTAATCACACCACTTACATTACATGGTACACCTGCATTTTGGTACCAAGCACTCACCAACCACCAAAAAGGTGCTCACCATACAACTCATGTGCTCCTTTTTCTCCTATTCCGCCCATCCCCGCCCCCACCCCCACCTCACCTCCTCCCCTCCTCAACGGTACAATGTATCGCTGATTGTGGTGCTAGAGGCGAGGGATGAAGTGCAGGGGGGATTACAGGGGGTCAGCACACGTCTCCTGCCTTTCATGCTTGCACCTCCTCACTCTCAACCCCACACCGACCACCCCCACACCACACCCACCCACTGGCCAGGACAACGTTGCGCTGATAGTGGTGCTAGAGACGCATGGGGGGCGAACGGGGGTCAGCACATGTGCGCCTGTCACTCCCACCACCCCCACTCACTCCCACCCCCACCCACCACCTACCACCCCCACCCCCACTCGCACCACCACTCTCCCCACCAGGACAATGTGGCGCTGATCGTGGTGTTGGAGGCGAGGGACGCAGGCGGTGCAGATGGCAAGGACGGGGCTAATGCACCTCCTGCCAAGAGACAGCTGCTCTGCGTGGTGAGATGTGGTGTTGTGCGGTGCTCTGTGTGGTAAGATGTGGTGTTGCACAGCGCTTTGTGTGGTGAGATGTGGTGCTGTGCGGTGCTTTGTGTGGTCAAATGCGGCTCTGTGCAGTGCTCTGTCATATGCCTTCCTTCATGTGTCCTCTTGTTCACTTCTGAGATGTCTCAAATCCGAGATTCTATGTTCCCCTGTGTTGCAACACTGTCGTTTGCTTCTATCCGCTCCCGTCCCTTCGCCAACGTTCCTATGCTTTCATTCATGTACTGCGCTGTCATGTCATGTGCCAACGCCTGTGAGGCGCCTCACAATTCCTTTTTGCCAGCTTTCCTGTGCTGTCATGTCATGTGTCTTGGTGTGCAAATGTATGTCGTCATGTGCCAACACATGCCTCTCCTCTCCATACCCCCATCAGGCCAACACGCACATCCACGCCAACCCAGAGCTCAAGGACGTGAAGCTGTGGCAGGTGAGGGGTGAGGGAGGGGGTGAGGTGCAATTTATGGCGCGTGTGGTGTGTTTGGGGACAAGCTGGTGGGGTAGGCTAGCATGGTGCAACGATGCGGGCTGCATCCATCCCCGTCCACATGCCCGTCCATGCCCACCCTGAGCTCCAGGCCCCTGCATGGTCAACATGCAGGGGAGAAATCTCTGAATCACCACCTCCTCTCCAAATCACCTCCCTTGCTCTCCAACTTCCCCGTCCCTTCCTACACCAGGTGCACACGCTGCTCAAGGGCCTGGAGAAGATTGCCGCCAGTGCAGACATTCCCATGCTTGTTGCAGGGGACTTCAACAGCGTGCCTGGCAGGTGAGGCTTCAACTACAGGTGTCTTGTGCAAGTGAGCCTTGAGTGGGGGGTATGAATGAATTGGGTTTCCAGGCTCCAACCGCATGTCGGGCAGGGCAGGTGTGTGGGCGTGGGTTGAAGGGTGGGTGGGACGAAGAAGGGAGGCTGGGGCAGGTGAGCTTGGGGACGTCCCAGGGCCACAGTGCCAACATCCCATGCTGGTGGCAGCAGCCTTTAACAGCGTGCCGGGCAGGTGGGCTTGGGACTTTTAGCATACCTGGCAGGTGTGGGGGACGAGGGTGTGGGGGAGAGATAAGGGGAGGAGGGTGTGGGGGAGAGATAAGGGGAGGAGGGTGTGGGGGAGAGATAAGGGGAAGAGGGTGGAGGGAGGAAGGGAACCAAGCACCGACTTGCTGTCCTTCCTCGTTGTCCTTTATGTCTCCCATTTCCTCTGCCCTTTTCTCTCTCCCATCCCTCTCCCCCTCCCTCTTTCCTCACCCCCTCTTTCCTCGCCCCTTCTCTCCTCGCTCCCCCTGCAGCGCTCCCCACTCACTGCTGGCCACGGGGCGAGTTGACGCCAACCACCCAGAGCCCGCCACACATTGCTTAATCATTCTTCCCATTGCCTCTCTACCGTCCCCCCCTCTCTCACCTCTCCCCCCGTACTGCAGTGCGCCCCACTCACTGCTCGCGACAGGGAGAGTTGACGCCAACCACCCAGAGCTTGCCACGGACCCTCTCGGCATTCTGCGACCCGCCTCCAAGCTATGCCACCAGCTGCCACTGGTAGGTCACCAGCTACCCCTGGTAGGTCTGCTGCTGCTGCTGGTATATGAGCTGTGTTACATCGTGGCTACTCTCTTCAATCTCGCCACGGACCCTCTCGGCATCTTGCGACCCGCCTCCAAGCTCTGCCACCAACTGCCACTGGTAAGCCAGCCATGTTACACCGTTACCAGCAACAATCTGGTCTTTTTTACTCTGGTGCTATCAAGCGCGCCACCCATCCTCTTTGGCATCTTGCGGCCTGGCTCCAAGCTCTGCCACCACCCGCTGGTAGGTCTGCTGCTGCCGCTGGTGGTATGTGAACTGTGATACATCGTGGCTAGTCGCTTCAGCCTCGCCACGGACCCGCTCAGCATTTTGCGACCCGCCTCCAAACTCTGCTACCAGCTGCCGCTGGTAGGTCAGCTGCTGCTGCTGCCGCTGCTGCTGGTATGTTAGGTAGCTGTGTAATGCTGCCACCAGCTGCATTCGAGTCTCTTCAAGCTCGCCACGGATCCTCTTGCCATCTCGCATCCCGCCTCCAAGCTCTGCCACCAGCTGCCGCTGGCAGGTCGGCTGTTGCTGTTGTTAGTAGCTTAGCCGCTGTTTTTCTGTTACCATTTACGTTCCAGTCTCTCCAGCCTTGCCACAAACCCCTCGGCATCCTGCGGCCCGCCTCCGAGCTCTGTCACCAGCTGCTGCTGGTACGTCTGCTGATGGTGGTAATGATGGATTGGCCCATGTTACCCAGTTACCAGCTATATTCCAGTCTATTCAGCTCGCCACCGACCCTCTCGGCATACTGCGATGCGGCCTGCTTCCGAGCTCTGCCACCAGCTGTACCAACGAGGCCCTCTCTTTGCTTCCCTACTCTCTATTCTCTTCGCCTTCCCCCTCACAGGTCATCGCATATGCCGCTCTCAGCTGCGTCGGTTCAGTGGCAGCAGCAGCAGCACCACCAGCAGCAGCAGCGGCTCTGCCACTGAACCACCGCGGCGCCTCTCTCAGGAGCAGCAGCAGCAGCGGCGGCGGCGGATGGACGCGAGCAGCAGCGAGCCTCACCCCGTGCCGCTCTCTCCTTCCACCCACCCGCCTTCAACCCCCTCCCCCCCACCACCTCCCCCTCTTACAGGTCAGCGCATATGCTTCTCTAAGCCGCGGCCTGCGGGGGCTCAGTGGCGGAGAGGCAGCGGCGGCGCATGGACGCGAGCAGCAGCGAGCCTCATCCTTTCCATCCTCTCTCCTTCCATCTACCCACACCCTCTCACAGGTCAGCGCATACGCCTCCCTAAGCCGCGGGGGCTCAGTGGCGGAGAGGCAGAGGCGGCACATGGACGCGAGCAGCAGCGAGCCGCATTCTTGGGCTTTGCCTTACTCGCTTTTGTCCTGCCCCATACACTATTCTCTTCCCCCCCTCACAGGTCAGCGCATACGCGTCTCTCAGCCGCGGGGGCTCGGTGGCGGAGAGGCAGCGGCGGCGCATGGACGCGAGCAGCAGCGAGCCTCATCCTTTCCATCCTCTCTCCTTCCATCTACCCACACCCCCTCACAGGTCAGCGCATACGCCTCCCTAAGCCGCGGGGGCTCAGTGGCGGAGAGGCAGCGACGGCGCATGGACGCGAGCAGCAGCGAGCCTCATCCTTTCCATCCTCTCTCCTTCCATCTACCCACACCCTCTCACAGGTCAGCGCATATGCCTCCTTAAGCTGTGGTGGCTCGGTGGCGGAGAGGCAGCGGCGGCGCATGGACGCGAGCAGCAGCGAGCCTCATCCTTGGCATCCGCTCTCCTTCCATCTACCCAACCCCCCTCTTACATACAGGTCAGCGCATATGCCTCCTTAAGCCGCGGGGGCTCGGTGGCGGAGAGGCAGCGGCGGCGCATGGACGCGAGCAGCAGCGAGCCTCTGTTCACGAATGTGACGCGTGACTTCATGGGCACGCTCGACTACACCTTCTATACCGGTGGGTGCTGTTACCATACGTGGGTGGTTTGAACATACAGTTGTGCGGCAACCCTCACCGGTAGTGGTGGTAGTGTGGTAGTGTGGCAACCTGTGACACCTATCTCTGTTCACGAATGTGACGCAGGACTTCATGGGCACTCTGGACTACACCTACACTGGTGGGCTGCATGAGTGGTGTATGTGTGATCTATCGTTTCCTGTGTGGGAGGTGTGAGCATACAATAGTCGGAACACGTTACCCTTATCCCCAGCAGCATTAGCAGCAGCATTAGTAAGCCCCTGTTCAAAAACGTTGAGTCGTAACTTCATGGGCACTCTGGACTAGACCTTCTATACCTTCTCACCCTCGGCGTTGAGTGAGTGAACCCTGTGGTAGTTGGCATGGGGATGGCAGGAACGCCGAGGGACTGTTCTGTGAGCAAGGTTGTACTCTCACCTCTTCTTTGTGACCTCCCATTTCCTCCCCCCCCCCCCCTCCCCCCTCCCCCCTCCCCTCTCCCCCCTCCCCCCTCCCCCCTCCCCCCACACACAGCGGACTCCCTGTTAGTGGAGTCAGTGCTGGAGCTGCTAAACGATGACAGTGTGCGCAAGGACACAGCGTTCCCTGTGTGTGATTACCTTTCTACGCTTAATGGGTTTCTCCCGTTCCCCCCACACACTCATTCCGACTCTCTATTGTTCGATTCAGTGCTGGAGCTGCTAAACGATGACAGTGTGCGCAAGGACACCGCACTGCCCTCCCTGTGTGTGCGCGCCTTAGTGGTGTGTACCTTTATTGATCCTTCTCACTCTTGTCCTGTTCCCACCCATTCCAGCCGACTCCCTGTCAGTGGAGTCTGTACTCGAGCTACTGGATGAAGACAGTGTGCGCAAGGACACACCGCGCTGCCCTCCCTGTGTGTGTATGCCTTAATCCTTGCCACTCTTCTCCTGTTCTCCCCCACTCCAGCCGACTCCCTATCGGTCGAATCTGTGCTGGAGCTACTGGACGAGGACAGCGTGCGCAAGGACACAGCGCTACCCTCCCCCGAGTGGTCCTCCGACCACCTTGCACTGCTCACTGAGTTCAGATACAAGCCCCGTATGCGGCGGTAGAGGAGAGGCTTATAAGGGGTACAGAACAGAGAGAAGTGGTCCTCCGATCACCTTGCACTGCTCACTGAGTTCAGATACAAGGCGAGGATGCGTCGGTAGAGGAGAGGCTTGTAAAGGGTACAGAACAGAGAGAAGTGGTCCGCGGCTTGCACTGCTCACTGAATTCACATACAAGCCACGGATGCGGTGGTAGTGGGGACGCTTATAAGGGGTACAGCTGGACAGAGTGGTCCTTGAACCACCTTGCCCTGTCATGGAGTTCCGATACAAGCTCTGGGTTAGGCGGTAAAGGGGACGCCTATAGAGGGTACAGATGGGTGACTGACAGAGTGGTTGCTGAACCACCTTGTCCGCTGACAGAGTACAAGTACAAGCTCACTATAGGGAAGTACAGGGAAAACTTATAGAGGGTACAGCCCAGCCCAAGATGGTCTCCCTTGGCTGAACTACAAGGCAGGCTGATATGCTATATAGGGTACAGGGTGTACATGCAGGTGCAGGTACAGATGAAGCTGCAGCTGGATAAGAAAAGAGGGAAACGTGAAAGGGGGTTTGGCTGGTGATCGTATGCAGCTTAGAGGTAAGGTGCGGTGCTGTGCGGTGCTACCCTGCCCTGTGCTTGGCTTGTCTTTGTCTTCAAGCCATGTGCTGCCTACAGGGGTTGGGTTGGGTTGGGATGGGATGGGTGGGTTTCTGCTGCAACATGCTTGGAGTGGAAGCCAGCAGCTGCTGTATGCTGGATAGTTCTGGCAGTGGCAGGACAGGAAGGAACATTGATGTTTGCAACGGCCAGCCGTGAGCAGGTGGACTGGCTGGCTGGCTGCTGGCAGGCCTATTCTGTTATAACTCTGCAGCACCGTGAGCGAAGGAAGCATGCTAGTGGGAGAGGCATGAGAATCATGCGAGGCAAAGCCCTTGAAGTTGAGGAGGGGCAGATGACGATACGATACTATGCAAGCACGAGGTCACGAGACTGGACGTGTCACACGACACTCCAATCGAGGAGAGGAGGTGATGGTTTGCTGGAAAGCTCTCAGCTGAGATACGACTCATTGGACGGACATCAGTGGCAGTGGCATGGTATGCGGGTAATGCCACAGAGTGACATACGGTACAACAATGCCTATCGTCACCAAAATTGCGAAGTGCAAGCTCTCATGTAAAGCAGGAGAAATGAGAAGGCCCATTTTCCTTCACGTGTATCCCAAGTGTTTCATATTATCAACAATAAAGCTGCTCTGAAAGAAACTCCACTTGGAATGTTCTCCAAGCTGGGAGTTGAAGGATGTGTAGTAGCAATATTTTAATTGCAATATACAAATCATACTCGTTATAGTGCTCGATTCCAGGAACAAACGCCATGCAAAACATTCAGCTGCAACCGCAGCCCATCACCTCGAAATCCGAGATTCCTGGCAATGGAGGCTAGCTTCACACAGCGCGCCGCTTTCGCATCTACTCCGATCGCCGAAGCGCATTCGGCATGCAGATCGCACCGTTCATCGCGCCCCGCGCGTTCCATCCGATTACAAGTTGCGTCGAATCCACCGCACCGCTGCTCCTATGCGTTCGTCCCGTCCTCTCGCACTCCCTTCCATTGCGGGACAGAGCCCTGCTCGGGAGGCCTCGTGCCGACGTCTCTTTATAGTCACAGCGGTTTTAGTCAATTTCTGTCAGGGCGGGCGGGCGCCAGCAGGCATGGGAGAGGGGAGCGTGCGCGCGGGGTTGTCAGAGCAGCGGATTCAGCGGGACCGTCCCAAGCCAAGCAGGACTACTCTGTACGGATTCTCCTTTCCAGCTCCCTTTTCGGGTTCAGAAAACGACAAAATATCCCCTACATTTTTTTCTCCCCATGCGGCTCGCCGTCTTTTCAGCTGTCTTTGCTGCTGCTGTGCATTCAGTTTTGAATGCTAAAACCCTGGTTATACCCTGCACCCTGTACCTTGTCCCTTGTTCCGCTCAGTCCACCCTTTCAACAAGTATCCCCCCCCCCCCCCCCACCCATCCCACCCCCTTCATTCTTCCCTCCCCCATCCAGCCCCCTCAGTTCACAGGCGATGGGGCCTCTGTGGGGGTCCGAGTGCCCATTCCTCCCCTCTGAGACGGCTCAACCTTCCTCCCGCCCTTCGCCCCCTTGTACCCCTTTCCCCCCACTTCACCCTCTTCCCCCCATTTTCCCATTTCCCCCACTCCATCCTCCCCCCCACTCCATCCTCCCCCCCACCCCATCCTCCCCCCCTTCCAGTTCACAGACGAGGGGCCCTCTGTGGAGGTCCGCGTGCCCATCCCCTCCTCCCTCCGGCCAATCCAGGCGCACCACGTGGCAGTGAGCGTGCAGGAGGACGCGCTGTCGGTGGCTGTGACGCCGCCAGCTGTGACCCCTTCTCCATTTTCGCCCTTCCCCCACTTCCATCCATCCCTTTCAGTTCACCGACGAGGGGCCCTCTGTGGAGGTCCGCGTGCCCATCCCCTTTCCCCCCACGTCCTCCCCACTTCGCCCTTTTTTTCCCCTTCCCTCCCTTCCCCTCCCTCCCATCTCCTCCCCCCAGTTCACAGACGAGGGGCCTTCTGTGGAGGTCCGCGTGCCCATCCCGTCCTCCCTCCGGCCAATCCAGGCACGCCACGTGGCAGTGCGCGTGCAGGACGACGCGCTATCGGTGGCCGTAACGCCGCCAGCTGGCTTCGGGAGCAAGGGCAAGGAGGGGCGGGAGCGATCGCTGCTGCTGGCGTGTCCACTGTATGGGAGAGTGAAGGCCAGCGAGAGTGTGTGGTGAGTGTCGATTGGCGGGCAGGTAATGCTTTCAGTGGGTGGTATCAGTGCGGGCTGCCATTGGTAGAGGGAACAAAGAGGGGCCTCAGAAGGGCAAGGAGGAGCGGGGGCGATTGCTGCTGGTGGCGAGTCCATTGTACAGGAGGGTGAAGGTGAGCGAGAGTGCATGGTGAGTAAAGGGAAGTGGGAGTGTGTGGTGAGCATTGTTTGAAGGATATGCTGTCAGTTTGCTCTTGGTGTCGCTGCTCGTGGCGAGTCCACTGTATTGACAAGTCTCCCTGTCTCCCTGTTTCCTTGCCTCCCTGCCTCTTGTATCCCTGCCTCTTGCCTCCCTGCCTCTTGCCTCCCTGCCTCTTGTATCCCTGCCTCGCATCGCAGGTACATTGACGATACAGAGATCGTAATCACGCTCTTTAAACAACCGCAACCCTCCTCCTCCTCTTCCTCCTCCTCCTCCTCCTCCTCCTCCTCCTCCTCACCCGCTGCACCTTCCGAGCCTGACTTCCAGGCCTGGCCGACCCTGATCAAGAGCTGGGAGGCACTGGCAGGGACGGTGGCCAATCAGCTGAAGAGCTGCTCCGTGCTGCTGGTGGGTGGCAGCACTCGTCTCAATGCGGCCGTCGCTGCAGAGCTGGCTACGGGGCTAGGGTGAGTTGCTTCTTTTGCCTCAGGGTATGTTGGATCTATGCCTTAGGGTAAGTTCATTTTTTCCCTAGGGAAAGCTCTTTTTTTTGCCTTAGGGTAAGTTGCTTTAGAAAAGGTCGTTCTTTGAAAGTAGTGCCGTTTCTTGTGCTTCTGGTCTGCTGGTGGTTCATGGTGAACTGTGCATGCTTGGTGTGCCATATCATTGCCGGCTGTGTTCTCCTCACGCAATGCCGATTGTGTTCCCTTTTCAAGTTATATAGAGCCGAAAATATGTCCGGAGTTTACCATTTGTGTATCTGCCCTGTTGCCTTTCACATGCCAGCTATGCATTCGTGCCAGCTATCTCTTGCAATGATGTTGTTTCCCATGTCCCCCCATCGTGTAACCATCTTGATTGCATGCCAGCTATGCACCAATCATGACTCAGCAGCTAGTGGAGCAACTAGCAAGTGCAACCATTGACGAAGGTGCGTTACCCTGTAACCCTGTTTGCACCGCAATGTCAAGTTTGCGCCGATGTTGGTGTTTTGTCTTGGTGGATCTGTGTCTGTGACTTCATCTCATGCATGCGTTTCACTCCATGCACGATACATCCCATCTTTGACATGCCAAGAGCTGAGCGGTCTATTCATGGGACCATGGCAAGTGCATGTGCTTTCCTTGCAGCACCTGTTTCGATGCCACCCTCTTTTGCCCACGTGACGGTTACTGCATGGATCTGCCAACCACTTGCCCTTGCCTGTTGCACTTCACTTCCACTTGCACTTGCTCTTTGATGCTTGACTGATTTTCATGCTTGACTGATTTTCATGCTTGACTGATTTTCATGCTTGACTGATTTTCATGCTTGACTGATTTTCATGCTTGACTGATTTTCATGCTTGACTGATTTTCATGCTTGACTGATTTTCATGCCGTATTGCTTCACCTCGCCATCCACCCCTCAAGCTTCAACGGAAGAGGCGGCCTTTCCACCTCTCAAGGGAAGAGGCACCGGATGCATGCAGTGGCTCAAGTCAAGCAGAGAGGGCCCTCTCAATTTTCAACAGGTGCCTCGTGTTGAGACACGTCTTCCCAAATCTCATTGGCCCCATTCATGCTCCCTCTCTTTTTTTTACACCACCCCCCTCCCCCCCACCGTCTCATACCCTGCACATCACCAGTGGCGAGCGAAGAGGGGCCGGATTCAGTGGCTCAAGCAGAGACAGCCCTCTTAGACCACCTCGCCTCGTATGTACCCTCTTAGACCACCTCGCCTCGTATGTACCCTCTTAGACCACCTCGCCTCGTATGTACCCTTTTGGCTTATGTACGGCCCTCCTTCCTCTTTTGTATCTTTTCTTTCAGTCCCTTCAGCCTTTTCACCCCTTGCTTCCCTCTCAGCTCTCATATTAGGAAACTGCCTGAGCCCACCTCTCCCTGTGTGCACACCCCCCCTTTTATCATAACCCCCTCATGTACACAACACTCTCCACGTGGTGGTTATGAGGCGCCTCAAAAGTACTCTTTATGTGGTGGTTACCACAATGGCCCCAGCAGCGTTTTGAGACGTCTCAAAACACGTGGTGGTTACCACCATGGCCCAGCAGCCAGCCCTATGATGCTCTCTGAGAGCTGAACTCCGTCTATCCCATCAGGCCCTCTCAGAGAGCCCTCATAGGGCTTGCTGACTAATCTCATAATTCCATCATAAACCCCTGAAGCCTTGAACCCCTGAACCCCTCCCTGCAGCAATCCCCGAGTGGTGGTTGCCACCATAAGGCAGTCCCACGCACAGCTGCAGGCAGACAACTGCGCTTTAGCTGCTGCACTGCACCTACCCCCATGAGCCACGTGCACACCACACCACACTCCCCTTCAATGAACACCCCTCCGCTGCAGTCCCCATCCCTCGCAGCAATCCCTCAGTGGTGGTTGCCATGCCATGCCACCACGGGCCAGCCCTTCGGGGTCTTTCTGAAGGCTCGCACCCAACCCAGAACACCCCCTCCATGACCCTATCACTATACTCCCTGCAAACCCCCTTTCCTGCAAACTCCCACCCCTGCAAACTCCTTTTCCTTGCAGCAATCTGCGAGTGGTGGTGGCCACCATGGGGCAGCCCCACGGGGCGTCGCTGCAGGCAGAACGCTTACCTTTCATGCTGCACTGCACTGCACCTAACCCCTTATACACTCTCTGCACTCCTCTTAACCGCGTTCTCCCACAGCAATCTCCGAGTGGTGGTGGCCACCATGGGGCAGCCCCACGGGGCGTCGCTGCGGCCCGACAGCTGGCGGTTCATCCACGGCGGGATAGCTCTCTGGCTGGACGTGAAAGGTGGGCTGGGTGAGGGGAAGATGGGCGTGGGTGCTTGAAGGTGTGCGCATGCGCATGAGGGCTTGTGGACTTGGGGGCTTGGGAGGGCGTCTCTGCGGGCTGGCAGCTGGCGGTTTATCCACGGCGGAATAGCTCTCTGGCTGGACGTGAAAGGTGGGTGGGAGAGTCGAGGGATGGGGAAGTCGGGGGATGGGGAAGTCGGGGGATGGGAAAATCATGAGCATGGGCTTGAGTGCTGGCAAGTGGGCGCATGGCCATGAGTGTTGGTTCCTTGGAGGTTTAGAGGGGCCATTGCTGCGGGCTGGCAGGTGGGGGTTCATCCACGGAGGCAGAGCACTGTGGCTGGACATCTAGGCCACAGCAGTTTATGGACAACCCAGTTTTTCTGCCTCGTTCTCTCTCCAGCCTCCAGCCTCTACCCCACCTTCCTATCCCTCCTTTCCCTCCTCACGCCTTCCCCAACTCCATCTCCTCACCTCCCCATCTCCTCACCTCGCCGCCTCTCGACCTCCTCACCTCCCCGCCTCCCCGTCTCCCTATCCCCCCAACCCTATTCAATCTCCGCGCCCCATTCTCTCAGGAGACTCTGACAGCACCCAGACCCTCATGTTGAGTCGACTCAAAAGCCCTCCCGCCTCCCCATTCCCCAAACCCTATTCAATCCATTCTATCCACCCCCCCATCCCCACACCCCGTTCTCCCAGACGACGCAAACAGCCCCCCGGACCCCCATTTCGCGGACAGAGCTGACGTGGCGATCAGGCTGCACCTGCCAGCTGGCTGGAGCACGGACGACGCAGTCAGCGCTGACGTGGCACGGGCGGCGGCGGAGGGTGCGCTGACAGCTGTCAAGGCGGCATTGGACGCGGATCCGCAACTACCGGGTGAGTGAAGAGGGCGGGAGGGGTAAGGGCTGTAGCGTGCTCAGCTTAGCTTAGTTCCTGGGTTTAGGCCTTGAGATGCTGACAGCTGTCAAGGTGGCATTGGTCGCGGTTTCCCAACTACCGGGTGAGAGGGCGGGAGGGGGAAGGGAGATTAGGTGTGTGCTATTGAGGCGCCGTACCTTCTTTTAAACCAAAGTGAGATTATGAAATGCTGGCAGTGACTTTGACATTTGGTTTTTGCAACAAGAGACCCCTCACCCGATCTTCAAATGCTGACAGCCGTCTCACCTGGATTCGCAGCCACTGGGTGAGCCGGCGAGAGGGGGAAGGTTGATAAGGTGGTACTTGAGAATTCTCAAAAAACAGGGCGAGAGGGGGAATGGGGATAAGGTGCGTACCACTATACAAGGTGAGGTCTAAAATTATCACAGCGCCATCGAGCACGTTCTCTAAGAGAAGGCAGGAGTGTGTGTGAAGGGTGATTGAATGCTTGCCATTCGAAGCCATCTCTCTGAAACGTCTCAAAACAGAACTGCCAAGACAGAACTGGACGTTGGTCAACAGCTGCTGTGTGAGCAGCAGGCAGGAAACACGCTTTCCTAAACGCTTCGTCATCGCATCTCCCCCATCCTTTAAGGGGTGTTATGAGAAGATTATTTAGTTGACTCGAATATTGCATCACCCCCATTCTCGGGGGTGTATAATTTCTGTCATGTGTCTGTCTCTGGGTGTCCATGCGTTTGTGTGCATGTGCATGTGCATGTGCATGTGGATGTGCATGAGCATGTGCATGTGCATGTGTGCCTTTGTGCATGTGCATGTGCATGTGCATGTGCATGTACATGTGCATGTGTGCCTTTGTGCATGTGCATGTGCATGCAGGGAAGAAGAGCCTGTACGTGAGAATGGGGTGCAGGGGCGACTGGCCGGACCTCATGCCTCCAAGTTGGGACCCAAACGCCCAACCAGGCGAAGCAGAAGCCGTGGGTGAGGGAAGTGTGGAGCAGGCACCCGCTACAAGCGATTAGAGAGGGGGGTGGTAGGCCTGAGTGGGAGAGAATGGGGTGCAGGGGCGACTGGCCGTACCTTATGCCGCCAAGCCGGGACCCAAACGCCCAACCAGGCGAAGCAGAAGCAGCAGCAGCAGCGGCAGCGGGGGAGGGAAATTCTTAGGACGAAGAGCCCATATGTGAGATGAGAATGGGTGGGTGAGACTGAGGGGCTGGGTGGGATGGAATGGGGGGCTGGATGGGTGAGAATGGGGTGCAGGGGAGACCGGCCAGGCCTCATGCCCCCTAGCTGGGATTCCATCCCAATGCACAACCGGGTGGAGCAGGCAGCGTGAAGCAAGGGGTTGAAGTGTCACTTTAGAGACTTTGTCAGGCGAGCAATTGCCTGCAACATTCGATCAGGAATAGGGAAGAGCCTCTAAGACGACTCTAAAGAGGGGGAGGTGGAGCAGGCACCGTGTTGGCGATTGAGTTGACTTAGAAGGTTGAGCAGTTACCGTATGCACTCTATTGTGTGTGCGAGGTTGACTGAATAAACTGTGCCATTCCTAATATGGTATCAGGGGTTAGTGCATTGGCAATGGGTCGCCAGCCGCGCCGAGAGTAGTGCATTTATACAAATACGGTACAACATTATTTTTCAAGGGTTTTGTAACAACATAGTTAGAAATGTGTGTAATAACGTAAGACTTTTGCGTAAGGCATGGTCTATTGATATTGAGCACATATTGCTTTAAACGGTGGCACCACCATGCCAACTGGAGTGTGGACAAGGGGGCCTTGCTTCTGTCACATTCGCTCGGATTCAGGATTGTTTGGGAGGGGAGGAGCAAGGAACACACTTGAAGTCCACGGTCTTGGTTCCCCTGCAAGGCAGAGCGCCCACACACACAACACCAAACAAATCAGCTAGTATGTGAACCAAAATCAGTAACGGATGTCCTCCCGATGTTGTGGGGAGGGGTTGTGCTGGGAAAGCGAGGGAAACTAGAGTGTGCATGTGCGTGCACGGGATTGACAGTTTACAAGCCCCTAGGGAGTAAGAGGGGGGAGAGTGGGGCGATGGCAAGTGGTTGGAGATGGGGGAGAGAGGGCGTGTAGCTTCAAACAGCACGTACCAGTTCTTGTTGTGGTAGGCGAGAATCTTGGAGCCGTCAGGGGAGGAGGGGGGGACGGGGGCGATGGCTTAACGTGTGGGGGGGAGGTGGGTACATACCAGTTATTGTTGTGGTAGGCGAGAATCTTGGAGCTATTAGGGGAGTAAGTGGAGGGAGAGTGGGGCGATGACAAGTGGTTGGAGGCGGGGGAGCGAGGGGGTGTAGCTTCAAACAGCACGTACCAGTTCTTGTTGTGGTAGGCGAGAATCTTGGAGCCATCAGGGGAGAAGGCCCAGATGAGGCGGTTCACTCCGTTGTACTTTACGGGTACGGTCCCATCAGTACCATTGCGAGAGAACCTGCAGTGGTGGGGGCAGAAGCACAGGTATGAGGAACAGCAGCAGGGGAGGAGAAGGCCCAGATGAGGCGGTTCACTCCATTGTGCTTCACAGGTACGGTCCCATCAGTGCTGTTGTGCGCGAACCTGCAGTGGTGGGGACAGGAGGGTACAGTTGGGACAGAACCAGGGCCGTGAGAAACAGCAGCAGTGGAGGAGGAGAAGGCGTGCTGATCCACCCTGCTGTATCTCACGGTGACTTGTGAGTTGACTCAGAAGTCACGGTGACTTGTGAGTTGACTCAGAAGTCACGGTGACTAGTGAGTCAACTCAGAAGTCACCTCCTTAGGAGGAGAAGGTCCAGATGAGCCGATTCACTCTGCTGTATCTCACTGGCATGGAGCAATTTGTGTTGTTGCGCGCAAACCTGCATTGTGGGGGATGGTTGGGGACGGTTAGAGACGGTTGGGGACGGTTAGGGACGGTTAGAGACGGTTGGGGACGGTTAGGGACGGCTGGAGACAGAACCACGGCCGTAGATAACTCTTTGAGACATATCAAAAGTCAACAAACAACAGTAGAGGAGGAGAAGGCGCAGATGAGTCGGGCACTCCATTGCATTTTATCTCACAGGAGCACAGAGGCATTCGTACTGTTGCGAGCAACCTGCAGCGGTGGGGAGGGTTGGGACAGAACCAGTTGACTTTTTAGTTGACTCAAAAGTTGGCTTTGAGTCGACTCAAAAGTCAACTCTGTGAGCAAACGTTTTGAGTCGACTCGAAAGTCAATTCTGCGAGCGAACGTGCAGCGGTGGGGATGGTTCAGAGCCAGAGCTGTAAACAATCGTCCCAAATGCTCGAATCATTTCAAGATTGACTAATGAGTTGACTCAAACGTCCTCACACCTCCCTTTCACACCTCCTACTCACTCCTCACCTCATGATTGCACCCCGTGCTGTTGAGCTGAACCCAGTCGGTGCAATCGCAAACTTGCTTGACGGTTTCACGGCACTCGCTGCATAGCCGGTTATGCCATAGGCTGCCACAGCTGCTGCTGACTTGGCAGGTGGCGATGCTGACGTGGCGAGGTTCCCAGCCACCACGTCAGCAGGGGACATGGAGCCCGTTTTGGACCATCCCAGGGCGAACCAGCCCTTGTGGGCCCCACTGCTGGGTTTCGCCTCCACCGCTAGAGACAAACTCTGTCGCCCCTGGCGCTTCCAGTGAAGCACAAAGCTGGAGGGGGAAGGGTGGAGAGGAGGGATGGGTGGAATGAGGAGGGATGGAATGAGGAAGACTAGTATGTAAAGGGCCTTGCATGGGGGACTAACTCCCAAGGTCACCACACACACACACACTAGCGCACCTAGAAGGATTGTGCACAGTCAAACTTAACGCAGTCACGCACTATCACACCATGCTATGACGTGGTGAAGCGGGGAGCAGCAATGCCTTGCACGCACAGAACTTGCACGGGGCCCATCACACACTCACGCACAATTGCCCTCACCCAACACACACACTCTCACTCAACACACACACTCTCATACACCACACACTCTCATACACCACACACACTCTCACACACCACACACACTCACCCTTTACCCGTGAGGTCCACGGAAGTGGTGAAGCCGGGAAGAGACTATGCCTTGCAAGCAGAGGGCTTGACTTGCATGTGCCTAGTCATGCCCACCGCACTCACGTACAATCACTCTCACAATTACACACCCCACCACCACTGCACTCACCCTTTACCCGTGAGGTCTAGTGAACAGGTGAAGCCGGGAAGGGACGATGCCTTGCACGCAGAGGGCTTGGATTGGCTTGCAGATGTCTATTCAAGCCCACCACAATCTCACACAGTCACACACTCACTCGCCCACCACTCACCCTTTACCCGTGAGGTCCACTGAGCTGGTGAAGCCAAGAAGAGACGACGCCTTGCACGCAGCGGGCTTGCACTCACAGGGCTTGGCTTGCATATGTCCATCAATCAAGCCTACTGCGTTAACTCAAATCACGCAACCACCACCACTCCCTCACCCACCCACCACTCACCCTTTACCCGTGAGGTCCACTGAGCTGGTGAAGCCGGGAATTGTCGACGCCTTGCAAGCAGAGGGCTTGCACGGGGGAGGAGATGGCGGAGGGGACGGCTTGGGAGAGGGCTTGGGGGAAGGTTGGGGGGATGGCTTGGGCGATGGTTTGGGGGAAGGGGGAGGGGGATTGGAGGGCGCTGGAAGACACGAGAAGTCCACAGCTTTACCGCCCCTGCAACCACCGCAGCAGCAGAAATTGGGGAACACAGGGGATGGGAGCACCCAATGTAAATACCAGGCGCTTCTGTTGGGCGTTTCCTGTTCGTCCCTTTGACTTTTGAGGCGCCTCAAAGGGCATGTGCGCTGCTAAGAACCTAAGTGGTCCCTGTCCTTGTATTGCCTTTAGGAGCTCACTGTTTTGATGACACCGAAACGAGCTGAATATAAAGGAACAGCTTATAGAGAGGACGAGAGCATTGGTTCACATCGCACCTGTTCATGCCGTGATTGGTTGGCCTGCCTCTCGCACCGAACACCCAGATGATCCGATTCGCCAGCTGCACTTAAACTGGAACAAGCTGCTTATAAGTGAAAAGCTTATAGGGGGGACGAGAGTCATTGCACCTGTTCATGCCGTGGTCGGTTGGTCTGCCACTCGAGTCGAACGCACAGATGCTCTAATTCGCCCCGCTGTACGTTACAGAACAAGCTGCTTGTAAGAGAATGGCTTATAGGGCGGACGAGAGTCATTGCACCTGTTCATGCCGTGGTCGGTTGGCCTGCCGCTCGAGCCGAACGCCCAGATGATCTGATTTGCCCCGCCGTAAGTCACCGGAACCACCCCGTCCGTGCCGTTCCGCGTGAACCTGCGGGAAGTCAGTCACGCAATGCAAGGAGAACCGTGTGAATCAGGGAGAGAGAATCGGGGAGAGAAAATTGGGAAGAGGGAATTGCGCAGAGGCTCGTCGCTCATCATAGCCGTGCAAGGGATTCCTGCAGAGGCTGGAGAAGGGGAAGAGCCACGCTCCGCGCGTACCACATCACGACGCTACTTGGTCCCGTCCCGGTATTCTTTTTTCAATCGACTCAAGGATACAGTATCATGCCAAACACCGCACGTACCTCATGACCATCCCGCTCGGTTCCCACGCGAGAGCGGCATTCCCAAGGCTGAACCTCGAGGTGGGCGCAACCGTGGTCTGACTGTAGCCTTCTAACGCGTACGCCGAGGGCCGGCTGCTCCCCGCGACACCCACAACCGCGTCAGCGGGGAACATGTACCCCCTCTGGCTCCACGCTATCGCGAACCAGCCTTTATTGCTCGACACGCCGCTCCCCGCCTTCGCCTCGACCGCCATGGCTAGGCTTTGCGGGCCGTCGAGCTTCCAGTGCAGCACGAGACTGAAAGGAGGGCGGGAGGGGCATGTCAAGGGCGGACGGGAAAAGTGTGCGAGGAGTAAGCGCGGGTCAGTTCGACAGATACGGCGCTGCGTAACGTCGAGCTTCCAGCGCAGCACGATGCTGACGGGTGGGAAGAGCGGCGTATACACTGAGGAGGTGCATCCCTCATTCGCAGGGCGTATGTGCTGTATAACAAACGGGTTTTCTTAAACAGCGGATCAATCGAAGCAGCGAGTCGCGCATTGTGCCTCGTGCCTCTCGTAACGCACCCTTTCCCCGACAGGTCGATCGACGAGGTGAAGCCCGGAAGCGAAGACGCCTTACACGCCGGCGACGATGCGAGCTTGCGCCGCCGGCTGTCGATGCTCTCGCGCACCTGATCGTGACTCGTCGTTGCGGCTGCCCCTGCCTCGGCGCTGCCACTTCCGAGCTCCGTCAGTCGCCGTCTACTATCGGAGATGCTCTCTCCTTGACTCTCACTCTCGATAGTAACACTCTCCGGTAGTATTTGCGACGCTAATCTTTCTTTTCCTGGCACTTCTCCGAGAGCATGTGACAATAGGCATAGTGCTAGTAGTAGCGGGATCGCGACTTGAAATGTATGCCGCATTTCGACACGTCGGCGAACTGCCGGTACGATCCCGTTAAGGGAATCAACAGAGACGATCTGGATAGCGTTCAGACAAGGATTATATGTCCCTTCTGTGAAATAACATAGCGTTTGTACATATGTAGGACTACCAAGGTCCGCTGCTGCCAGAACTCAGGAGGTAATCAGCGGAGTCAAAGGGGAAAGCTTCTAGGACATTCGAGAAGCGTGGACCTCACGGGGATATGTTCGGCGGGGTGCTGCCTGGGGAAGGTTAATCGACTGGCTTCTATCAGGAAGGCCGACATGTCGGCCGCAGGCAGTTCTGCTATGCCAATGCTGATAGCCGTCGTAGGGTAGGGTAGTAACACTGGTGAGTCGGTGGTGGATCATCATCGGAGGAAATGTCTTATGTTGCGCGGTCCGGCATCAATGTGCTTTCAATCATGTTTGCACATTGCGTTCATGCGGCCCGGCACCAAAGGGGTGTATTCCTTGAAGACTGCTCAATAATAGTAGGGGATTTTTGACGTGCCAACTGTTTTTTGCTGTCCTAGTTCGTGAGTACCCTGGGTCGAACCACATGAGATTGAAAGCATGGTCAGATAAGTGAAGAGAGTACACTTCCGAACAAGTACAGTCAGTGCATTGAGAATCTGTTCATCTGCAACATCCAACAGCTACATTTTGTTTCGTCTTCATTTTCAGCTGTTGACCACCCTGGACCTGCACGAAAAATCATAGATATCCGAGCCGCATCCCCATGGCATAACGCGACTTGTGCACCGAAAGCCCATCCGACCGTCCATTATATTGTTGCGATTCGATTGGTCAAACTCATAGCCCTCAAACCAATTTTGGTCCACTGATCCTTGCTTCCCTCCTTGCCTTCCCTAGTCCGCTATCACGTTGAAGTGGGCTTGTTTCAAACCCACTAGACTTCTGTGCTTCACTGCGTGTTGGCATTTGCGTGCCCCAGTGCTCCACTACGGGTGAATCTGATGGCTTGGAGCCCAGAAAAGTGTCAGAAGAACGTGCACAATTTTCCGAGCAGCAATGCGCAGGTGAATATTGGCAGGACAGATTCAGCACCACGAACTTTGCGATTGCTTTCTTCAATGCAGAGCAGATCCTGCTCAAGCAGAAGCTCTTATCAAGTCGCCTTATCTGCTTGCCTTCGGCTGGTAGGTACAGCCTTGCAACTTCATGCCAGTGTTCGCAGAGCAACATAATCGCCCCTGTTCAGACCAGCAAGGCAGCAGTAATTCAAATAATTGTATCTCTTGCTCCAGGGTTCCACCAATATCAGTTAGCAGGCCTTTTGAGCTCTGCACTTTGTACCACGTTCTCCTGCCACACCACCTAGCTACACGCTGGTTGCATACGCGTTCTCATAGCTTTCAGTGCGTGTCGCCGTTCCATGGATCGACCAAACCCCGTGCAACCACGCTAGGCGCGCCGAGCCTGTTTTTGGAAGCCTACGGCCTCCACTTTTCCTCGTCATAATCTTAATCTCTTCCAAAGCCAGGAGCTGCGTTTTGCGACAGCGAGGAATCACTATACACAGACTTAGCAGACTGACGCCCGAGTCGGAAACGATAAGTTAAGGAGCTTTTTTAAACGGAGACCGTGAAGTGACGAGGGTACCGAGAGCAGCGATGAAAATGGGAGCGCATCTCAGATTATCTCTACTTTCGCTGCTCCTCGTAGTGTCGCTGTGGCCTCTGGCCCTTGCAGTCGGGCCTCCAGCCGCACAGGCAGCTGCACGGGCAGCATCACGGGCAGCAGGACGCGTGAATCCAAAAGAAAGCTCACGGGGGACGCCAAGGCCAGCCCCTCGGGTAGTAACACGCCACCCAATAGTAGTAAAAGCGGCCGCAGCCACTAAATGTGACCTCAATCAAGGACGGTACGTTGCAATGGGAACCTCTTTGAAGTATTATACGATGCAAGATTCCGCCTCCTGTGGGTTCAAAAATTGCTCTTCAAGCTCAAGCTTTGCACGCCTTTCGCGTTCACCTGTTACATCTAGGTGTTCGGCCTTACATATATGCCACCAATTCTATTTCAACCTAGTTCTCTATCCCTTTCCTTGCGTGCCTTCCGTGTCGCTTTGCTACAGGTGGGTGTACGACCCGAAGTACAAGCCAGAATACGGCCCCGTGAGCTGCAAGAGCCTGCGATCGTACTTCAACTGCCTCGCGAACGGGCGAAAAGATCGCAGATACCTCAACTACGTGTGGCAAAGCCCTGGCTGTAACATCCAGAGGTCAGTCCCGGTTCGCGTATCCGGAATATGATGAACTTGTAGGGTAGTCTGTGTTTCTCGAGTTCGATGCTGATTTGAGAGCACTAACCACACGCGCGCGTCGCTTTTCTCCGCACAGGTTCAATGCGACGTCGTTCATGCAACGGTTTCGCAACAAGGTGTTTTTGGTTACCGGCGACTCCTTTGCGACGAACTTCGACGCCTCGTTCCGCTGCCTCATCGGCTCATACACCAAAACCAAGGTGCGCGGAACGCAGTTCGGTCGAGAAACAAACGCCTTTCAGATGGCTCTGCGAGAAAAGCACTTCTATTATTTTGATAAAAGAAGAGCGAGGCGACAGGATGAAAGGTGCGGATGTGCAAGAGCTAGGAGTACATAGGTGACTGAGAATTCATCACGTTGTAGCCGGCGTTGACTGCCGCTGCCTGGGCGCAGAGCCGGGTATTTCAGAGCCAGGGTCTTCAAGGTATCGCTTTCATGGTCTATGCGCCTCGAGATCAGGAGAGTGTCGGGTCCGCAGGTTGCTGTGTCTTGTGAAAGTATCCTGCGTGCGCCCACCCAGTTAGTCAAGGTAACAAGTTGGAAATCGTGAATCTCGAAGTCTTCTAGGCTTCCCCATAATTCTCACATTACAATGATCTCCTTTTCTGTCTTGTTTCTCTATGAGCAGGACTTTACCAACAAGGTGTGGGGTAACACTGGGGTGAAAGCATCCGGTTACTTCGCGAAAGCATTCAACTTCACTGTAGTTCGCGTGCCCTCGAACTTCCTCGTCGCGTCGCAACCAATAGTGAGCCTTTCCTGCCTTGCACTCCACATACTCGACCGGATAATCTCTACACTCCGTTATAACAAGTTTTCCTTGACATCTCTGTCGCATAATGTGACGTGTTCTAGCAAAAACATGCAATTTCAATATCAAACAGTTTATTCAACGGTTCATTTTCACATTCTTGTACTTGTACCGCAGGGCCCGGTATCGAGTGCAGGGGTGTGGCAAGTGGATTTGGACAAAGTGGACGACAACTGGGCCAAGCTCTTGCCCTTCACCCACTACGCGCTCTTCAGCTCTGGTCACTGGTTCAGCCAGGTGAGGCGAAGGAGGTTCAATGCGGTGGTGAGTGGTTTAGGCAGGTGAGTATCAGATTATTAGCACGCATATCACTCCACAATATTCTACTCCTTATGAAGACAGCTCCATCCACACAGAGTAAAAGATATACCACAAGGGGAGACACTTGCTATCTCTGAATAAACTGCAGCAATTGGCAACTAATCCTGCCGCACGGCCATGTAACCGTGCAAGAATGTTCGACCGATGTATCCGAATCCCCATTGTCCCTCCAACCCATCCCCACCCCCGTCACCACCCCCATCACCACCCCCTTCACCATCCCCATCCCCATCACAATTCCCAACCCAACCCATCCCTAATTCTCTCACCCCCATTCCCATCCCCCTCCCACTGTCAGTCATCCGACAACCTCCAGAAATACCGCCGCAGTGGGCATCCTTTCAAGCCGCAGTCCGCGCTGCTAACCATGCCAGGAAGTCTCACCTCCGCCACCCTTTCCCCCTTCCCGTCCCCCCTCCCCCTCCCACTGCCAGGCATCCGACAACCTCCGGAAATACCGCCGAGGAGGGCAGCTAATCAAACCACAATCCGCGCTGCTAACCATGCAAGAGTCGCTCGTTACACTCACGCGGTTCGTGAAGGCGTCTGGTTACCGCGGCACGCCGTTCTTCATCACGTTCACGGCCTTCCACTACTACAACTCGTTCGACGCCAAGTCGCAGAGCTGCGTGGGGTTCACCGACCCCTTAAAGCCCAAGCAGCTGCAATACGCAGAGGCCGCAACGGACATTATCACATCGAGGAACGCACAGATGGCGGTGAGTTGGGAGGTTGGTGGCTTAGGGGATGGGGGATGGAGAGAGTGGGGTGCATGCAAGCCCAAGCAGCTGCAATACGGCGAAGCCACGAGTCCACCATGCCTTTCTAATCCTGCAAATATCTTTCATGTCCAAACTAGAAACTGGGGATCGTTCCTCCTTACCTGCTCTCCCGAGCCTACTTACCAATCCTCCCATATCCTCCCTTGTTCCCAAACCTATCCCAAACCTGTCCACCGATGCAAAGATGCTACAAAAAGCACCGGAATCCAAGATAGTGGACGTGGCTCGATCCGCCCTCTCCTGGACCTACTTACCAAACCTCCTCTCCTCTCTCTTTCCCGATCCTGTCACTGATGCACAGATTCTACAGAAAGCACCGGAGTTCAAGATCGTGGACGTGGCTCGATCGACCCTCTCCCGCCCGGACGCACATCAACAGCTGGCGACGGGAACAGGCAGCCCCGACTGCTCGCACTTCTGCGTCCCCGGGGTGCCGGATTCATGGGTCGACATCGTCAATTCGTACATGATCGGCACGATTTGATAAGGAATGATCTGATAATGATTGGAGCAGGGCGGGGACTGAGCCCCCCCAAAGTGGGTGGGGGAAACCGAGAGGGGGGGTGGTGCTGTGGAGAAAGGGGTTGCTTCTTCTAAAGGTTGGCGATGTGGAAAGAGGAGCTTGTACTTGAAGAGAAGGGCTAGTCCTGTGGAGAAGACAAGCAAGCCTTGGCCAAACTTCAATACGTGTATATGGATAGGTGAAGGGATGCAAACGGCATCCAGAAATTCACACGGCGACAGAAACGTTGTACGATACAATAATTTATGGCAAAAGTGTTGCAGCATCTTTGTGTGTGCACACTCCAGCTCAATCAATGCCTTATGATACCGTATTCCCTGGTTTGGATCCAACTCATTAGCAGTCTGGTATGACATGTGGGCTGCATATGGTTTTCTATTAAGCGTAATCTATTATTATGAGAAGCTGTCAAATGCTGGGAATTTCCCGGCAATGAAATGAGGGCATACCGTACAGAGTTGGCATACCGTATTCCCCCGGATAAAACACCCGGGGGTATTATGATAAATACCGGGAAAAAATGGGGGGGGTCTCCTCAACGGAAAGTCCTACATAATACCCGGGTGGTTATATATGGCACTTTTTAGTGTAAGGAAAAAAATTAATTAGACAATTTGGGTGTTTCAATAGTCGTTATAACATCACAGGTTGAGGCGAGAATTCGAGTTTTGGCGAGAATGTGAGTTTCACCTCTCGGGCCACGTGCAGCGGAAGATTCGCCAGCGTGGCGACAGCGAGATTGTGGAAGGGAGGGAATCTCGGTAGATTCGAAGTGAAAGTGCACGCGAAATTTCATTCAGGGAGCGATTTTCGTCATATCCTCCCGTAAAAAATCTGACTCGATAACAGCTATAATAGGGTTTCGTAAGAAAAGGGGGCCGGGTCTTATATAGGATCACCCCAAAAAGGGGGGTATAGTACTAACGGGGACAGATATAACACCCCCCCCGCACAAGCTACCCGGGGGTGTACAATTCGGGGTGGGTGTTTTATCCGGGGGTATACGGTATACAGCAAACATGTACCAGGGCTAATTTATTTTTTTGAATCACCCAGATACCCTAGTAATCAAGGTGGATCTTGAGAAGTCGTTTTGCTTTTGGGGATTAGCTTTTGGCTTATCCAAGAGGGTTTCCATTTTAGGCACGCTATGGCTGTACCATGAACTGGAAGAAGCTTTTTTACTATAGGTTCCAACGTCGTAATTAAACAGCCATGCAAACACAAAATTGTGTGCGGATGTGGACATCTGGAGTGTTGAGGTAAAAAGTAGTACCTAAGTTGCATTTCAGTTGTTGGATATCTATGGCGCAGTAACATCCTACCCTATTTAAGGAGTGTAGATTTTTTTTTATTGTCTGTAGCGGAGCACCTCTTGAATAGAGAACGTGATTGTATCGTCCATACTCACAACCCCCAACACCAAGCGGAAAGCACACCGCAGTTCAGGAACAGCGAGTTCTTCCTGACACACCTTGCTCTCCCAACCAAGAAACGGGCGGTAAGGTCGCTAAATTTTGTAACGCAACCAATTGGAACGCACTTTCACACCTCGACATGACGGCTGCGCGCTTGGGCAGTTGCTCCACACGTAAATCATTCTCGGGTAGCCTCCCAAGCGCCGACCAGTTTGGGCACCATAAACGACAGACTCTTCAAAGTCGGTTGCGTCTTGCTCTGGCAACCTCCATGCTCCGTCGTGCATCTGGTTTGGCTCGATTCGCCGGGTTCGCGAACTTTCAGTGTTTCGTCACTGCTGGCGTGGATGGGGGTCTGTGGGAGCTAGGACACGTGGCGAGAGCGGATTGTGTGCGCTTGCGACAAGCGCGCAGGCCAGCGGAGAAACGTGGGGGCCGAAGTGCGAACTGAACAGTGCACGCTGCGCTCAACCTTTCTTTCACCAATTCCCGAATTCTCCTCCAGCAAAGCGCGGCTCGAATCGCACCTCCCTCTTTGCAGCACGAAATTAGCGCCTCATGCTTTCTTCCCTCACAGCTGTCTCACCAGATGAAGCAGCAGTGAAATCAAAACCATCAAAACAAACGCAAAGAGCAAGGCGCGGCCACAGTATCTCGAACCACCCAATAGCGAGCACCCAAGGAGGACGCGGTTCGATAAGGATTAGTTGACCTCCCATACCTCAAAAGACATGCTAGGTTCCTGGTCCAACCCTAAGCATCATCTCCATTCCGTAACCTAGTCACATATGTCATGACGTATTCCTTCGCACCACTACACATGCCGTCCTTGCCTTTCCAGGGCTCTTAGCAGGTATATGCACAAGGCAGCATCTTGTTCAGCTTCGAATACGTAGAGTTGTTTTCAGCAGATCACATTAGAGAGCGAGGGTTCTTCCCTCTCACCTCCCTAGCAGCACGGAGGCGCCTTTTCTGTCCTGCCACTCGCGGGGAGCTGACGAACCCGACATGCAGCAGTTACGCCCGCGTCCGCTCCCGCTGCCCTGCGCGCAGCCGCAGAGCCAATCACAGTCAAGATACGCGTCGCAATCCCAGCGAATAGACATTCCTAGTAGGCCGGTTATGGAGAAGCGCGCGAAACTGCACGACTCAGAGTCGTGCGAGGCCACTAAGTCGTTTCGCAAGGCGCGCTGGCAACAGTTCCAGCAAACTGCGGTGGATAAACTTTATTCAGTGACATGGTAAGCTTGAAGATATGTTGTTTGATTAAGCTTATGCTTAGGGAGTAAGCTAAATCCCGTGCTTATGTTGTGTGCCATGCTGTGGTGACTTGCTTCTTTGTGGGAAGTGGTAAGCCGTGTGGAACTGGCGTTGGATTGAGAAAACGCGATGCGGGTAGAGATTCCCTCTCGCTGAGACAACCGCCCGTTCCCCGGCCTACCCCTTCTGCCGCCCGATTTCTCGCACGCCGCGCCCATTCCTCACCTGTCCCTCCAATTCTCCCCAAGACCCCTACTTCCACCACGCCCCCCCCTGCTCTCCCTTCCCCTTCTCCTCTGACTTCCCCTCATTCCCGCTTCTGTTCTGCAAGGAAGTAGTAGTATTTGTCATTTTCACGCCCGTGCCCGTAACGACGAGCCTTATCGACGCGCAGCACCAGCCCAATACCGTATCCCTCCCCCTCTCTCTCCTTCCTTTCCTCCATTCTGGGGGGTAACAGTTCTTGTTTTCACGTCCGAAGCCGGAACGACGAGCCTTATCGGCGCGCTGCTACTGCGTCCGCACCAGCCCAAAACCGCGCCCCTCACCCCCTCTCCCCCTCTCCTCCATATCAGGGGGCTCGCAGTGCTGGTTTTCACGTCCGTGCCGGGAACGACGTGCCTCATCGGCGCGCTGCTACTGCCGTCATACGCTGTTCTCGCCCTGCTCGCCGTGTGGCTCGTTATAGAGGCGGTGTTTTTCGTGTTTCGTTATAAGCAGCTACAGCGAATCAGTGACGAGTATGTGGAGCTCCCGCTCCCGTCGCGCGAGGAAATCTCGACGCTCCTCGACCGGGTCCTGGCCGTCGCGTAAGTCAATGCAGTTGCAAAGCCCCCTTCGTTTGGACCTAGTTACCTGCTGGGTAAAGGCGCCAGAATGTCCCATCCTTCTCAGCCGCGTCCTGGCCATCGTGTTAGGTCAACGTCCGTCGCATGAGTCAACGCTGTTGCATTACGTTGAGGCTCTTGCATTCAAGCTGCGAATCTCTATCCTCCCCGTTTCCGCCCCGTTCTCCTCATCTCCCTCCTCAACCCACCTACCGTTCTCCGTCGTCCGGACTTGGACCCTTCCATTTTTCGCGTTATCAGGAAGCAAGCGGACTATAACGATTTCGTGGGGGGCTGGTTCATGGGTGCGTCCCTCGCGTCACTAACGCGTACAAATGTTCGTCAGTTCATCTCGCACGGCTTTTTCCACCGCTTCTACAACGAACTCTCGAGTGAATACCAAGAAGCAGTCGAAGGTAACGAAGCGTCTCTAACGCGTACGAACCCTCGCGTTGTCCCTTCTCATCCCGAATTCTCGTCGCTCCCCGCCTCTCTGAAGCTCCTGCCATCCGCACAAGTCAGTCGCCTGTTCCCTAAAAAAGTCTATCGAGTCAACGCTAGTCAACTCACGTCAACGCAAGTCAAGTCACGTCAACGCAAGCACCCTGCCTGTTCCCCCTCGTGCTTTCCAGAACTTGTTGACAGAGCCGAAGCCGACCTAGGAATGCACTTTAAAGACCCCGACGCGCCGCCTCCGCCTCCCCCGGAGCTGCTGTCCTTCGGTTCGGACAGCGAAGGAGAGAGTGAAAGAGGGGCGGGGGACGAGAGGGAAGAGAGCGAGAGCGACAGCGAAGCGACGGCACGACCAAGGCGCACCGCCGTCGACGCTGCTGCCGGCGGCTCCGCAAGCTGCGGCCCGCTGGAAGCGGCGGCAATCGCGGCGTCCTCGAGGAGCCTTGGGCGGAGTTGGAGCGACGCGCAGCTCCCGCGAACCAGCGAGAGCAACGCGGATTGCGGAAAAGGGGAGGGGAAGGCGAGCGGAGGGCGAGAAAATGGGGAAGACGAGGCGGAACTCGAGTCGAGCGGAACGAGGGAGGGGAATGAGGGGAAGGCGGAGAGGCGGAAGAAGGAGAAGGGGGTAGACGAGTCAGTGCGCTTCATGGCGCACACGCGCGAGCCCCTCCGCGCCATCATCCACCCGCTCGCCTTCTACGTCTGGTGCGCCTCCTCCCCCACCCCTCTTAGCCTTCTTCGTCTGGTGCGCCTCCTCCCCCACCCCTCTTAACCTTCTTCGTCTGGTGCGCCTCCATTTCCTCCAGATTCCTTCCCCCTTCCCTTCCTCTCGCCTCCCCACATCTCGCCCCCTCCTCCCCCCCACCTCCTTAGCCTTCTAGCCTGGTGCGCCCTCTCCTCCCCCTTCTCCTTCGCCTTCTACTTCTGGTGCGCCACCATTCCCTCCAATTTCCTTGCCTCTCACCTTGTGCCTCCCCACATCTCGCCCCTCCTCCCTCTCCCCCCTTTTCCCAAACCTCGCGCTACCTCCCCGCTGTCTCCCCTCATCTCTCTCTGTCCCCTCGTCCACTGGTCCACCCATGTCCTACAGATGTCCTACAGGGGTCATATCGTGGGCCTCCTCACTGCCGCCGCCATGCGACTCCTGAAGCACCTCAAGAAGACTTTTGAGTCCACTAATATGTCACCTTTTGAAGCACCTCAAGAGAACCCATACCTCTCCCCTTTTTCCTATCTCCCTCTTCCCGCGTGTGACCTTCCAGGGGCCATATCGTCGGGCTCCTCACTGCCGCCGCCATGCGCCTCCTTGGCTTCTCCAAGTACGCGCCTTTCTTGACCTCCGTTGACTTCCGTTGACCGCCGTTGACCCGTCTTGACCTCCGTTGACCTCTGGTTGATCCATTGACCTCTGTTGACCTCCTTTGACTGCCGATGCCCTCTCATAACATCTGTTAGCCTCTCTCTTGGCCTCTGTTGACCTCTGTTGGCTCGTCTCGACTCGCCCATTCCCCTTGACTTGCGTTGACCAGGCACACCTCACCCAATGGCATTCACTACTGGTTCCGCGCTCCCAAAAAGTTGGCGCCAAAGGTGTGTTCTCAGTGCTGACGTGGAAGTCCAATTTCCCTGTTGCAAAACCCCCATGCATTACTTGGATCCTTTTTTTTCCTTACACCCTATCCCCCTATCACAACTATCCCAACCCCACTTTCCCGCCCCCCTCCCTCACCGTCGGCCACCCCCCCCCTCTCCCCCCCCCCCCCAATCCCCATTCCCGCTCCCCCATTGCCCCCCTATTCCGCTGCTCGCAGCGCAAGTCCCACAAGGCGGCTGCAGTGGTGCCGATTTTCGACGACACGTCAGCAGCAGGCGCCACGTCAGCCGCACCGACCGCACCGCTGCTTGGCGCGAGCGGGGGCCGCGTGCGAAGGGAGGACGAGGAGGAGGAGGAGGGGGAGGAAGGGGTGGTGCTGGTGCACGGGCTAGGGCTCGGCCTCACTCCGTACCTCTCCTTCGTTCACATGCTCTCGAGAAGCTACCCGACAAAGGTAAGGTCACGTTGAAGTGGTGCCAGTTACCTCTAACGTTGAACTGGTGCCAGTTACCTCTAACGTTGAAGAATCACGTTGCTCCGTATGCTTCCTATGCACCATAGCAGTCAAAAGCAAGTGTCACTGCTTTTATTTCTTCCCACTTTCTCCTCCAGAATCTGATTTATTCATTTTTTCTTTATCCATTCATTATTTTTGGATGTTCTCCAGAAGCTGATAGTGGTGGAGCTGGCACACCTGGCAGTGCGCCTTTCCACGTCATCACCCACCATCGATGACGTGGCAGACGGGCTAACTGACGCGATGGCGGACCACGGCATGCAGTCGGCCATCTTCGTGGGTCACTCGTACGGCGCTCTCGTGCTCGCTCGGGTACGTCCCTACAGTGCGGAAACATGTGCAAAGGGTGAAGGGCCTCATTATTCCAGCAGGTAGGTGTGGGAAGCGCTGCTCTATCATTCATGTCTCTTCCTCCCCTGGTCCCCTTCCTTCCTTCCACCCCTCCCTTCTCCCCCCCTTCTCCGCCCTCCCCCATCTTTCCCCCCTCTTCCCAATCTCCCCCCCCCTCCCCCACCCCCCAGCAAGTGCGCAAGCGCCCGGAGACAGTGAGCGCCATGAGCTTTGTGGACCCTCGCTTTTCCTTTTCCATTCCATTTCACTCCACTCCACTCTTCCCCATGTCCCCATAAACCTCTCGCCCTCCCCCTCTTTTCCCCTCTTCCCCCATCCTCCCCCCTTCCAGCAAGTGCGCAAGCGCCCCGAGACAGTGAGCGCCATGGGCTTTGTGGACCCCGCGTGCTTCCTGCTCTGCCTCCCTAAAGTGCTCTTCAATTTTATCTACAAGTACGTAATTCTCTGTAGCACGACCTTCCATGTACCGTCTGCGTGTTTCCTGCTCTGCCTCCCTAGTTACTTCTCCAGGTTTTAAGTCTGGCTCCTGCTGCGTATGCATATATACCCTATTCAGCATCACACCCTATACTGCGTATGCATATATACCCTATTCAGCATCACACCCTATACTGCGTATGCATATATACCCTATTCACCTACTGCCGCCCTCTTCTGGCCACCTCCTCTTCCCTATCCCATGTCATGCTCCTTCCTTTCTTGCCTGTTTTCCCCGCCTCTCACCTATTGCCTGCCGCATGTCACATACCCACCTTGTTCGTTGCTTACCCCCACTATTCCTCCCCCCGCCACTCCCCAGGGTCCCTGGCTCCCCTTCACTAGGCGACACAGTAGCAGAGGCCGTGAGGTGGTTTCTCTGCGGGAGGGAAAGCTGCAGGTGGAGGGAGGAAGGTACAAGCACCCCCTCACTCTCTCTGTTACATCACTCCACTCCCCCCCTCTCCCATTCCCCTGCAGGGTCCCCGGCTCTCCCTCAATAGGCGACACAATAGCGGAGGCGGTGAGGTGGTTTCTCTGCGGGAGGGAACGCTGCAGGTGTGGGACCTCCCCCAGACGCTGGTGACTAACTAGCATCGCCCCACTCTCCTCTCCCACTGCCCTGCAGGGTCCCCGGCTCCCCTTCTATAGGCGACACAGTGGCAGAGGCAGTGAGGTGGTTCCTGTGCGGGAGAGAGCTGCAGGTGGCACGAGCTCTTTGTCGCGGCTTCAACTGGTGAGCTTTTTCTGGTGCAGGTGGTATCTGCATCAAGTGATGGGTCTCACTTGGGGTAGGTGGTTCCTGTGCGGGAGGGAGCTGCAGGTGACACGAGCTCTCTGGCGCAGCTTCTACTGGTGAGTGTTCTGGTGTAGGTGGTATCTGCATCAAGTGATGGTTTCACTTGGGTCTCGCTTGGGTCTCTCCTGTGTGGGAGGGAGCTGCAGGTGGCACGTGCTCTCTGCCGCGGCTTCAACTGGTGAGTCTCACTGCCAGCTCTCGGCTTTGGGTGTCACCTGGGGTAGGTGGTATCTCTATCAAGTGGTGAGACAAATATACTGCTCCCTGCTTTGGTCCCACCTGGGGTAGGTGGTATCTGCATCTGCCCTCTTCTCCCTCCGCCCTCGTCCTCAGGCACGTCTACCAGTAGTGGGCGGATGACAATCTATGCATGTCAACAAAATTCATCCCTCTCATCATCCCCTTCATCCTCCTCTGTACTCTCCCCCTCCGCCCTCCCCTTTTCCCTCCTATTCAGGCACACCTACCAGGTGTGGGCGATGATATTCCCGTGCATCTCTCTGCCTCTTTCTACTCTCTTCATCACTCCCTCTGACACGCTCTTGCTCTGCCCTTTTCTTCCCCGTTTTCCACTGCCCCCCTGCAGGCACGCGTACCAGGTGTGGGCGGACGACATTCCCGTGCATCGCTCGGTGGTGATGCTGGCAGGCCAGGACCAGATCGTGCCCTCGGAGCACATCAGAAAGTGAGTGAGCCTCGCAATGAGGGAGGGTGATGCATGGGAGGAGAGGGGTTTGGCCGTTGGGGTTGCTGCCACGCTCAGTGGTGATGCTGGCAAGGCAGGACCAGATCGTGCCCTCGGAGCACATCAGAAAGTGAGTGAGCCTCGCAATGAGGGAGGGTGATGCATGGGAGGAGAGGGGTTTGGCCGTTGGGGTTGCTGCCACGCTCAGTGGTGATGCTGGCAAGGCAGGACCAGATCGTGCCCTCGGAGCACATTAGAGAGTGAGCACTAGATGTGGGGGACTGATGGGAGGGGAGAGGGGGGGAAAGGGGAGGGGGGGAGGCAGATAACAATTCAATGCCAGGGGGTTGAGATCTAGAAAAGAGGAGAGGAGAGGAGGAGAGGATGTCAGAGAAGATAGTTGGGTTTGGGCTACAGCTTTTACGATCTCTTGCCTAGATTGTTCCACTTCTCGCCTTCCTCCTTCCGCCCCTCTCCCCATGCTCCCTCCTCACTCTCTCCATTTCTCCACCGCCCCTGTCCCCCCTCTCCCCTCTCTCTTCCACACCAGTGACGGTTATCACCATGCCTCAACGGCTCACCTCTCACCTTCTTCCCCTCCTCCCCTTTCTCCCCCCCCCTCTTCTCGTCCGTCTTCCCCTCCTCCCCTTTCTCCCCCCCCCTCTTCTTGTCCGTCTTCTTCTCCCCTTTCTCGCAGCTACCTGGCCAACACACCAGTAGATGTGATGTACAATGATGGTTACCACCATGCGCAAATACTTTTCAGGTATGTACGCACACCTAGTTATCCTGTCGTGGTACTATCTTTTTCACCCCTCTTTGCTCTCCACCTGCACTCTTTTTTTCATCGTGTAGGCACACTAAAAACCATCTATTATCGTGCTCTTGTTCTCTTCACCCATCACTTCCATCTGCTCTTTGTCTTCCTTTCCCCACCATCTTTCCCTCTCCATTCTTCCCTCTCCCACTCTCCTCCCTTTCCTCTCCCTCTCCACTCTTCTCCCCTCCATTCACTCTCCTCTCACCTCAGTTTCCTTTCTTTTCCATCCTCTTTGCAGCGTCGCCACTTTATCAACCCTCTCCCTCCATCTCCCTTCTCCATCCTCCCCGCAGCGACGCCAAGCAGCGGGAGTTCATCACTCGCCTCAAGGCAGCCTGCCGCTGACCCCCATTGGCTTCACCAGCTGAAGCCGTTGCTTTATCATCTCTCTCTCCCTGTCCCTCTCCCCTCCCTCCTCTCCATCATGCTCCCTGCAGCGACGCCAAGCAGCGGGAGTTCATCACGCGCCTCAAGGCAGCCTGTCGCTGACCCCCGACGTCTATTCAATTCATAAGTTTAATTATGGATTCATCTGCATAAGCCGCCGTGGCTTCATCTGTGCGAGTCCCTCACTGTGTACCCGGATGGGTGCATGGGGTCGACTAATGCACCAATCAGCAATAAGGCACATGTGGGCACTTGACGAGGATGCACGCGGTGGCAGCTTGGTACATGGCGGAAGGAATGAAGCCAGCAAAGGCATTGCAGCTCGTGTCAGCGTGCTCCCGAGGGAGCTGGAAATAAGCTGCTAGAATATTCTGTTCGTCGTCTAACCACTAGGCTGACTTGCAGTGGCAATGGAAGCAGCAGCAGCAGCAGCAGCAGCAGCAAGAGCAAGAGCAAGAGCAAGAGCAACATGGTAGCCGTTCATGTGACATCAGTCACTACACTAACACATCATTCGCTCGTTCACTGACAGGTCCTCTATGGAGGATGGCGGAGTCAGAAAATGATGAGGGTCGGTCCAGCGTATTGATGGTTATTTTTTGTTGTAGATGTAGTCAACTACCGTAGGATACCATAATATGTTAGGTCCTTAATAATATGCAATGCTCGTGGTGCTGCTGCTGCTGCTGCGTCTATCAAGGATCTTAGCTGAACGATCAGTCATGCCCCAGATCTATACATGAAAAAACTATAAATAAAATATGCTTACTTTTGGCCCTTCTTTTGCTGTTGTTTGGCTAATAGAGGAGCAATATTTTCCCGCCAGATCACAACCTCGGCGCGTGTCGGGCACTCGACTCGTCCACGTTCATTGCAAAAACGCATGGTATTCGACTGCGAAAAAAACCGTTCCGTCTCGAAGGTGTCTCGGGATACTAGCACTCTACCTTACTTATTATTGCCTTTTTTGTAGAAATGGAGTGTACAAATGTTACAAAGTGCTGAAATTCTGGACAGCAATAAATACCGCGGGCCAACCGAACGGCACGCAAGCCGCGCAAATCCACAAGCCGCGTCAACGAGGCGCGATGTAAATTATGATGATCGGGGGAGGGAAAGCCAAAACCACATTCCAATTTGGGTTCGACCGTCCTTCTTGCCAACGACGAGAGTTCTGTCCTTCACTTCACGAGAGCTCTACATTTTGGCAGCAGTGATAGTCACACGTTTCTTAGGTACCTCCTCATTCAATGATACAGAATTGTGCGCAGACGTAACGACGAATATTCGTTTGCGATTAAGGCCCGTGATTACGCGCCTAGCGCAGTTTTGTTAACAGCCCCACATCTTGCTAACCATATCAGAGCTATGGCGCTCCGCTGTTCCGCCATGTTTCTCCTTCTGCTGTTACCAGCGTTCGTACGGGCTGCGCCATCAAGCATACCCGTTGACGTAGCAAAAACTCTCATCCGAGGCAACCCGAGGAGCTTGGCGGAGGTCGCCCCGTGCCGCGCGTCCACATTGGGAGGGTACACGTCATCGGTCGGATTCAACAGAAAAGGGTAAGAAAGAAAATATGATTAACTTGAGAGAGTATTGCCGTTTCACATCACTAGCCTGAAGGCGCGAAAGAATGAAAAAAATGTGACACGAGAGAGAGCTGAAGGTAATGTACGAGAAGGGAGCTTACGGCTGCGAGACGGGTGCCTTGAAATTGGAAGACGGCTGTCTTTCGCCTTCGTTCTCGTTCATAACGTTCTATATACAAACAATGTCCCTCAATGTTTGTTTCCAGGTTCAACCTCCACTGGAAGGTGACGAGCCGCCAGAGCATCGATATTGCCGTCGAGGCCAAGGCCGGCAGCGGGGTCGCCAGGGGCTGGTTCGCTATAGGCTGGTCCAAGTCCGGCCTAATGTACCCCTCGGATGCCGTTATAATGAATTTCAAATCCAACGATAGGGATGCTACACCGCCCGTGGGCACATTCGCTGTGTCGAAGCGCGACGATTCGGGCGTGGAGCCAACATCGAGGTTCGCTATAACGAACACGGAATTCACGAGCAACACCAGCGCCGGCGTTCTTGTCAGGTGCGCACAACCGCGCCTGCAAGAGTCCGACCAATCATCAACATCTACTGCCACTTTCCGAGGCACCGCATTTCGCATTCTCCGCATTCCCCACTGCGCCTATCATGCGTCAAGAAGCGTGCGGACGGCCAAGAATTTTTGGATACCTCACATCAATCCTTCGTCACTTAGTACATCGTTCGTCATCGTTTTCAACTATCACGCTCACATGCATCTCCGTCTTTGGAGTCGCCTTTTGCCACGGAATACCTGCCTGTTTACTTCGCGTACCAACCAGCCTTCTCGTTTCTCATATGCTCCCGTCGCCGTCGGATCAGGTTCTCGCGGAGCAAGTTCGACGGAATCGTGCCCGTCAATTACAACGGCCCGAATCAGATCATCTTCGCATACGCGCCCTACGGAAGCCAGGAGGTCAAGGGCCACGCCGGCAAGAGGTAACAGCATGTCCTCGCGTCGCTGTTTAAGTCGAGTCAAAGGCCGACGAGAAATAATGCGTTCTCACATCTACTTTCAATTCAGTTCAAAGATTGGCTCTTTTCTTCTACGCTCTGGCGTCTACCACCCATTTACACCGTTCTGCACCGACTTCGCTCCGATCCTGTATTGCCCTCACCACCGCCCGTCATAGCCTTGTCGCATCTCGCCCTTCATACTTACAAAATGTCCCCCCCCTCCACCTCCCCCTCTCCCCATTTTTTGCTCTCTTACCCTTTTGCACGCACCACCCCCCCCACCTCCCCCACCCCCATTCCCTCTCCCCTTTTCCGCCCTTCCCCCTCTGCCACTCCTTCGTACCCCAGGGGATGGGTTCTCGTCGACTTTTCCTGCAAGCCCGGCTCCGCGTCCGCCTCTGATGATGACACGCCCGCTTCCCCCTCCAAAGCGCCTTCCTCCACTACAAATCCTTCCCCCGCCAAGTCCCCCTCCCCTCCCAAATCCAAATCTCCCGCCAAATCTGAATCCCCCGCCAAATCCAAATCCCCCCCCAAATCTCCGAAATCCCCCCCGAAGTCCCCCAAGCCGTCCCCGCCCCCGCCCTCGCCCTCGCCCCCGCCCCCGACTGATGTGATGAACCCCGTGAGCACCCCCTGTAAGAGCACCTCCGGTAGTAGCAGCAGCTCCTGCAAAGCATCGACTCTGGCTGGCTACACTTCCTACGTCGACTTAAATGGCCAAGGGTAAGCTACATCACAATTTCTCCTTCGTTCCTCCCTGCATTCGTTAAACTTCGCTAATCGGGAACCACAAAAGCCAAAAGCTTCTTCATGCCTTATCGTTCCATGTGCGCTTCTACCCTGTCCCCGTTACAGACTTCTCCTTCACTGGAAGGTGACCTCTGCTACGAGTGTAGCTTTGGCGGTTGAAGCAAAAACCGGCAGCGGAGCGGAGCGGGGGTGGTTTGGCGTGGGGTGGTCTGGATCCAGCTCTATGGTTCCTTCTGACGCCGTTCTTGGGAACGTGAGAGGACTGTTGCCTGTAGCGAGTTACGCTGTATCGGGGTACAGTGCGGGCTCGATCAAGGTCACTTCGCGGTTCGCCATTGGCCAGCCAGAGCTGCTGACGTCGACGAGTGGCGTCGTTATGAAGTAAGTTACTATGACGAGGGTGATCATGATGAGAAGAGGGGTGTAAGAATCACGAGCGATGGTGTGCGAGTTTGTGAGAGGTGTCCTGTTCCAACCTGTTTTCTTACCAAGTGCTACTATCGCCCGTCAGTCATCCAACGGCGGATGCCCACGAGACGCTTTCATCCTTCCACAACATCTTCCTTCTGTTCCCTATGCAGGTTCGGTCGAAGCAAGGCGGACGGGGAGGGCATAGCGCCTGTGGTGTACAACGGGAAGAACAAGATTATCTGGGCGTATTCAGGCAGCGGATCGCGCACCATTGACGACCACAAGGATAACTAGTAAGTTGCGACAAACCTTCTCACTAGCCTTGCATGCCTACTTGAGCGTATCAAGAAGTTGGGGTATTTAAGCGGCATTTGGTTTCTTCTTTGGCTGATACCGTATATCTCCCTCGCCCCCTCTTTCTCTCTCCTCTCCTGCTGTGTGCAGTGGCGCCACAACTGTGGATTTCTCCTGCAAGCCTGCACCAACCAAGTGCTAAATCTCTCTCTGCTATTTCCCCCAACTTTTGCAAGTAGTACCCTTCTCCCTCGTCTCCCTCATCCCCTCCCCCCTCTCTAGCTTTAGCCAGTGATTACTTAGAAATTGGACATCTGTGTCTGGACATACACTTGGTGCCATTTACGGCACCTAATGAAGTGTTGATTCTCAGAAACGATGGCACTGTATACTCCAATATTTGAAAGGAAACTTATATGCCTGATTAAATCTGTGATAACAACTCATTCTTAAGTTGGATGTTTCAAACCGCTTCAAGCACTGCCATGCTGTAAGACTGTCTGGGAGTATGTTGTCAACTGACATATTGATATATACACTGAACAAGCACTTATTTCACGACCCGCAGCATAGCCTGCTTCATGCTCCTAAGCAAAATCGTGTGCGCCACACGGGGCGGGACCCTATTAGTAGTAGATCGAAATAACTCGTACCTTCTTGTCATGCCTTGACGCACTCGTGCGGCTTTTCCTGCACCGATTTGTACCCACTCGCACACCTGCATTTAAACTGCCCCTTCCCTGCTGGAACGCACACGCCATGTCCCGAGCATGGACCATTCGTCACACTCGTACCGCAAAACCTACTGCACGCCGCCGCGCTCCGCTGCTGCTTCATGTTACACGTGGCGCTCTTTCCAAGGCAATTCAACGCCGCGAGATACTCGTCGTCGCCTGAGTCAGGATCTGCCTGCCCCTCCTCTGGGCAAACCTTCACATTGGACATTATGAACTCCGGGCTGCCCCAGAAATAATTTCTGCGCACGTCTACTGGCGGCTCCTCCTCTCCTCCCATAAACCCTATATTCGGCATGGGCCCTGAGAAGAGATTGAAGGAGATGTTGAAACTTGCCACGTGGACCTTCTGAAACGCGTTGGCGGGAATCGCGCCGACGAACGCGTTGCGCTGCAGGTACAGGTGTTCGATAACTGGGGTGGTTTTCAAGTTCGCCCAGGGAAACTCCCCTCCTAGCCTGTTAAACGAAAGGTCCAACCAATGCAGGTTTGGCATGTCTTTCAGCAGAGCCGCAGGAACTTGTCAGAGGTCCACTGGGGATCCCCGATGATCCTAGGGAAGGGTTACAGGCATGTCGGCCTGGGGGGTTATGGGCGCACTCACCCGCTATACAAACAAGCCCTTTTATCCCAGTGGTTAGTGGCTGGGATTCTGACATGGTATCAGAGCGAAGGTCTCGGGTTCGATTCCCGGTGTGTGCACCTCGGGCATCCCAGTGCGGGGGGGTGTCAGAGGTCCACTGGGGATCCCCGATGATCCTAGGGAAGGGTTACAGGCATGTCGGCCTGGGGGGTTATGGGCGCACTCACCCGCTATACAAACAAGCCCTTTTATCCCAGTGGTTAGTGGCTGGGATTCTGACAGAACTGTCCCCTTGAACCTATTCCCGGCCAATCGCAGACTCGACAGCTTTTTCATCTGCCCGTACTGGGACGGGAGCTTGCCCGAAAGTAGGTTCCAACTAAGGTTAATATCCGTCAGAGCCGAGTGGGAAGCAAGCGAGGCAATAGAGGAGCCAGTGAAGCGATTGTTACTCAAATCCACTTCTTCGAGACTCTTTATAGCGAGTATAACGGGCACGGGGAGTTCGCCGGAAAGCTTGTTAGTCCCGAGAATCAGCCGCTTCAGGCCCTTGATTTTCGCGAGGAATCGGTGGAATCGACCCAGTCAACCGATTTCCGCCCAAGTCAAGCACGCTGAGAGCCGCCATACTGGACAATTCCGGGGGGATTTCGCCTTCCAGGCGGTTCCATTGGAGGTCGAGGAACTCGAGGCGGCTCAGCCGCGCAAGCCCGCGCGGAATGCTCCCCGCGAGCCCCGTTCCGCGGAGCCCCAGGTACGTGAGCCGCGCGAGCTTTCCGAGGAAATCCGGGAGGCCGCCGGAGAGGCTTCCATGGACATTTTCGCGAATGCTGAACGACTCGAGTTTCTGCAGTTTCGCGAGGCTTTTCGGTAAGCTTCCGCCGATGCGCCAATTATTGGAAAAGTCGAGCAGCGTCAGCTCCGTCAGGTTTCCGACGGATTCCGTCAACGCGCCGGTGCAGGAGTAATCGCTGATGTAGACCTGGGTGACCATCCCGGCGTCGTTGCAAACGACGCCGGACCATTTCGAGCAGTCGGCACCGGGTACCCATGTCTTGGTTACCACGCAGTTTCCCCACGCGGAATTCAGGGAGAGTAGCGCCTTCTCTTGCGAGGGGAGCAGAGGGACGGCGCTGGAGGGGGGCATTGCGGCGGAGACGACGAGTGAGACGACGAGGAGGAGTGAGATGAGTGTCATTGTTGTTAGAGGGCCCTACGACAGCAAGGGCCCTCGACGACTTGGCAGATTGCTAGATTGACGACCTAGACTGACGCCCTTCGCCACCGACATGGGAATATTGGTGATGGTCGCGTATTGACAAAGCGTGACTGCTGAACTTGTCGTTGGAGTTTGTGCAGGGCAGTACAAGTCTGTGGGAGTCATTGGTGGTGTTGCCGAGTTGGAGTTGGTTGGTTGGGGTGGCGTGTAAGAAGGAACATCCCGCTGCTGAGTCAGGTTGGGATTGGCCGAGGCGCGGTTCACCCATCCACACGACAGTTTCGTGGGGTTGGGTTACTGCGCAGCGCCACGGCAACTTTGTGCAACTTCCCCGTAGCCTATATCTATCTTGTGTGTTTGCTTTTGTATTCATAATAATATTACAATCTCTACTCAAGTTCTCACTTAGCCATTTGAGACAAGCTCTACCGAAACGCTACCGAATTCCTCGCGCAACACCATTCTCACAAGCAGAAACTCTCTCGCCGTCGTAACGCTCTCCATAGTATTCCTTCATGGTGCGGTGAGCGTGGAACGAACACGCATAGAATTCCGTCGTCGACTTTCTTAGCGTTCGTAAACTCGCCTTGGCGTGCGGCGTTAGTGAAGGGCGCATATTAAATTAAGTTGAACCTCTCTTAATTTCCCTCCAGTTACGTTCTCGGACCCAAGGATAGGGCGTTTGGTAATTTATTACCACTCGTCTGAGGACCCTTGTGAGGTGACCCCGAGACGAGGGATTTAAGGAAGGAACAATTTATTTTAATTTGTGGCACCTTATCGAGGCGTCGTAGAGGATGAGTTCGGAGGAGGCGGACGTTGAGGCCGTTAATTTTCGCGCACTAGAGGAGGAGCTCGTGGCACGTCGTTCCCGTGGCGAGCTTAGTAATGTAGATTACGAGCTCATGTTGGAGGGATTACGCTCTCGTCAGCGTCGCGATCATCCCTCGCCACATGTAGAGCAAGCTGCGGGAGGCACTAGTGCGTGGGACATGGCTGTCAATGACGGAGGTGACGATGACGAGGAGGTTGATGGGTTGATGTCGCGTGGGGTCCTGCGAGGACCAACTCGGTTTAGTACGACTAGCGTCGGCGGTGTACAGGAGCGTGTTCATCGTGCGGCGGCGTCACACGAGCGTACGAACTTAGGACGACAGAGCGCTGCTGGAGGAGGGAATGCGGAGGAGTACGATAGTGGAGCTATGCCGGGCATTACCCCGATTGGATCGATGTCGAGGGATGAGGGAATAGCCCCCAACTATGGCTACTTCAAATTCACTCCAGACAGAATCGTCGTGCCTAAGCCGCTCGAAGGACGCCACGACCTATCGACGTGGGTAGAATCGATCGAGCCGCAGCTTGAGATCGCTCAACTAAAGCGATTCATTGACGGTACCACTCCTATTCCACCAACGCAGGCAGTTGCGCATCTCACTCAGTTCCGCGCAATGCAGTTACTGACGTTCACCACGATTTCCCGATGCTGCTCCCCAACCGTACAGATTGCCCTTAAGGGGTGTCGCATGAAGGTAGATGCCGGCTATCAGGCATGGCAGTTTATTATGCGCACGTACATGGCGAAGGACGATCTGTACATCGGTCAGTTAGAGCAGGCGCTCACTAACCTCGAGATGGGTGAGCACGAGTCCGCTACGTCCTATTGCAACCGTGCGCAGCAGATCCTAGTGAACCTGAGGATGGCCGGCGTCGATTACTCGCAGGCGTCGTACATTACTCACGTCGTGAAGGGGTTGCCGCAGCAGTACAACCTCTTACGCAGGATGCTGAAGCTGCCGCAGGTACGCAAGGAGTTGGACGAGGACACCCTCGCTAGCTACATTATCGAGGAGGAGTGTACGCTGGCAGCGGAGGGACGGAAGGACCAATTTCTTCCCCAGGCCAACCAGGTCTTTACCAAGAAGGGTAAGCCCCAATCCCAGCAGACTTCATCCCCTTCCCCTCCCACTACGGCACAGCAGCAGCAGCCTAAGACTGGGGGTGGGGTTGGAGGTGGAGGAGAGAAGTGGAAAGGGGCTAAGGATGGTCCGCCAAAGGGGGGGAAAGGTGGCTTCAAGGGGAAGTGCTACGTGTGTGGACAGACAGGGCATGTTGCTAAGTACTGTCAGCAGCGGGCGGATAAGGAGGCAGACACGGGTGGAGAGGGTTCTGGAGGCAGCGGCGCGAGTGGCAAGGGGGACGATGGCTCTAAGGGGAGCGGGCAGTCATCATGTGCGATGGTGAAGCCCGTTGTAGAGCAGACTCCTCTTGTCGTGCTGGAGCCTGAGGCCGGGGAGGGCTTACAGGCTCTTGCAGCTGCTGTGAAGGCGAACCCGAGCGTCGTGCTACTTGATAGTGGATGCTCCCACCATCTCATGGGAGATCGTTCTGCCTTTGTGGAGATGAGCAGCGGCGGTAGTATCAAACAAGTGAAAGGCTTCAACGGCGCGCTTCAGGACGTGCAGGGGCGAGGCACAGTCGCTCTTCTTGGAGAAGGGGGCAGGCGTCTCTTGGTGTCTGACGTGCTGTACGTACCTGGAGTGCAGGCGAGTCTTCTTTCTGCTGGGCAGCTGCGTGATAGTGGTGTGCAACTGCTGGATGCAGGCGACGTGACTCTGCTGCGGGCACCAGATGGGTCACTTCTTGGGCGTGCAGAGTACAAGGGGCGTGTTCTCTGCACGAACTTCCAACCGTGTTTGTCGCAGCAGCAGGAAGGCGAAACGGTGGCACTTCGTACCTTGACGACGGGCGTGCGGTCTAAGGTGGACATGTGGCATGCGCGTATGGCACACGTTGGTATTGATGCCATCGAGCGCACTGCGTCTCACGGGTCAGTGAAGGGCTTGGACCTGGAGAAGGGGGGCAAATCAGGCATACCGTGTGTCTCCTGTGTTGGGGGGAAGATCACTCGTCATACCTTCCCGCCAGTGGGTGCGGAGGAGGATGAGTTGCTTGGGGTGGTGCATGCTGACCTGTGTGGCCCTTTCCGTGAAACAGCTAAGGACGGCAGCCGCTACTTCCTGGTGCTGAAGGATCGCAAGTCGCGGTACGTCTGGGCCTACCCTTTGGCTCAGAAGAGTGATGCGCTGGCGGCGTTCCAGAAGTGGCTCCCGATGGCAGAGCGGCAGTGCAAAACCACGGTGCAGGCGCTGCGCACTGATCGAGGTGGCGAGTTCTTGGGGCATGACTTCACGCTCTTCCTCGACGGCAAAGGCATCATCCATGACCTCACGTGCCCGTACACGCCGGAGCAGAACGGGATGGCCGAGAGGGAGATGCGCAGCATTGTGGAGGCGGTGCGGACGATGCTACTGCACATGGGTGTACAGCATCATTGGTGGCACCTGGCGTTGGCGCAGGCCGTCTGGGTGCGCAACCGCGTGGAGCACGCCTCGCTGCCCTCTGGTGTGACGCCGTACGAGCTCGCCTTTGGACACAAACCCGATGTCAGTATGGTGCGGGTATGGGGCTGCATGGTGCAGTACATGGTGCCTCAGTCGCAGCGTGGGGGGAAGCTGGCACCAAAGGCTCGCTGGGGGTTGCACTTGGGGGTGTCCGCAGCGAGCAAGGGCTGGACTGTGCTGGACTTGGAGTCCAACCGCCTCATCACCACTGTGGAAGCTGTTTTCTATGAGACCATGTCCCTGGCAGGATGGAAGGCTTGGCACCAGCAGGAGCATGCGGGGCGTCCGATGCCCTATGAGCCCGTTCCCTCCCTCTTCCCGATAACTCTTGAGGAGGCGGTGGCAGAGGAGGAGGTGGTCGCACCTCCTGCTATGCCCTATGTCCCTACCTCGGTCCCCACCCCACCTCCGCCTTCAGTTTACCCTCGTGTGGTTCCCCCTGCCCCACCTTCTTCATCCTCACCCCCCTTGGCTTCCCCTCCTCCTCCTGTTATTCCCTCTCCCCTTCCACCCTCCATCCCTCCTGCACCTGCTCCACCCTCCTCTTCATCTTCCACGGCGCCGCCCGTTGGTGAGGGGGGGATAGTGGTGCCACCGTCTGTGGAGATCACCGACGGGCAGCGCCTTGAGACTGAGCAGCTGCAAGACAAGAGCAGTATGGATGGAGTACAGCAGAGTGGGGGGCAGGAGATAGGGGAGCAGCAGTTAGGGGAGCAGCAGAGTGGGGAGCAGCAGATAGGGGAGGAACAGATTGAGGAGCAGCAGATGGTGGACCAGCAGCTAGGGGAGCAGCAGACAGGGGAGCAGGAGATGTGGGGAATTAGAGATGGTGGTCGTGTGTTGGCTTCTGGGACGATCACTGCGCCACTGCGTCGCTCCACTCGCATCACTCGTGGTGTCCCGCCTCTTAAGTATGCTTGGGCTTTAGTGATTGAGCCAGCGGGATTGGATGACGAGGAGGAGGACGAGGAGTGGACGGACCTGGATCCTGACGTGGTGGCCGACCCTGAGAGGCAGTGGGATATAGCGAAGATGACAGTGAAGGAGGCCTTGGGCTGCTGGAAGGGCGACAAGGTGAAGGAGGCGATGGATGAGGAGATGCGGAGCTTGATTGAGCAGGGGACGTGGGAGTTGGTTCCGCGTCCGCCAGGGGTGAATGTGATGAAGAACCGCTGGATCCTGAACACCAAGTTCCGACCTGATGGGGTAGTAGAGCGTGAGAAGGCGCGGCTGGTGGTGAAGGGGTTCACGCAGGTGGCAGGGGTGGACTATGAGGAGACGTACGCCCCTGTGGGAAGCTATGTGACGGCGCGCGTGCTTCTAGCGATTGCAGCTGCACTCGATTTGGAGCTGATGCAGCTGGATGTGAAGAACGCGTTCCTCCATGGCGTGCTGGACCGTGACCTTTACATGGAGCAGCCGAGCTACTACGAGGATGGGACCCCTCGTGTCTGTAAGTTGCTGAAGAGTTTGTATGGGCTCAAGCAGAGCCCGATGCTGTGGTATGAGGCCTTGGATGGGGTGCTGCTTGGGGCTGGATGGAAGAAGAGCCAGGTGGATGAGGCTCTGTACTTCAAGAGTGATGCTGAGGGGGAGATGTGCTGGCTGCTGGTGTATGTGGATGATTTGCTTGCTGCCAGCCGCAGTCAGAGCATGCTGGGGGAGCTACGTGAGCTGCTGCAGAGTGCGTTTCAGCTGCGGGAGATTAGCCCTGTGGAGAAGTACTTGGGGTTGCAGCTGATTCGGGACAGGCCTACGAGGAGGCTGTGGCTGCACCAGGGGGCCTATGTGGACAAGGTCCATAGGCGCTTCTTCGACGGGGAGCAGCCGCTGCGAGTGCCTCGCACCCCCCTTTCCTCTGACCCTTTCAGTGTGCAGACCTTTGAGGATGCGGGATGGCAGTCTCGCCAGGAGGAGGAGTACAGGCAGAAGGTGGGATCCTTGCAGTTCGCAGCCTGTACCACCCGTCCCGACATCTCCTTTGCCTGCAGCAAGCTGGGGTCAGGCCAGACTGTGCGGAGTGACCAGCACTGGAAGGAGTTGGACCGATGCTTGGCATACTTGGTGGGGAGCAGGGATGTGGCGCTGGAGTTTGGTGGTGGGCCTGAGTCCTTGGAGCTGGTGGGCTACGCCGATGCTGATGATGCAGGAGACAAGCAGAACAGGACTAGCACTGGTGGCTATGTCTTCGTGCTCGGAGGTGCCGCTGTCTCCTGGGCGAGCCAGAGGATTCGTTGTGCCACCCTCTCCTCCACTGAGTCTGAGTACGTTGCTGCTGTGGAGGCTGGGAAGGAGGCGCGCAGGCTGCGCTTCCTGCTGGCAGAGTTTCAACTGCTGAGGAGTGAGGTTCTCTTTGTGGACAACTCCTCCGCCATTTCAGTGGCAGGTGGCATGGGGCTCAAGGGGAGCCTCAAGCACATGGAGCGTCGTCACATGTGGCTGCAGCACATGGTCAAGCGCAGGAAGCTGCAGCTGCAGTACATCCCTACGAGCGAGCAGCCTGCTGACTACCTTACCAAGGCATTGCATTTCCCCGCCTTCAGTCGTTGCTTCGAGGCTGTGGGGCAGGTGAGGCTCTCGAGCGAGGGGAGTGAAACCTAGGCACTCCGTGATGTGGATGGTGCCATGGCCTATCCATGGCTGGTGCGGTGCGTGTTTGCACTTTGAGAGTGCTTCGTTTGTGTGTGTTTCCCTTTGTTTTGGTGTGTATGTGTGTATGCATGCCCTGTGATTATAAAGGGCCTTGCTGTAGTATGGCAGGGGAGTGTTAGAGGGCCCTACGACAGCAAGGGCCCTCGACGACTTGGCAGATTGCTAGATTGACGACCTAGACTGACGCCCTTCGCCACCGACATGGGAATATTGGTGATGGTCGCGTATTGACAAAGCGTGACTGCTGAACTTGTCGTTGGAGTTTGTGCAGGGCAGTACAAGTCTGTGGGAGTCATTGGTGGTGTTGCCGAGTTGGAGTTGGTTGGTTGGGGTGGCGTGTAAGAAGGAACATCCCGCTGCTGAGTCAGGTTGGGATTGGCCGAGGCGCGGTTCACCCATCCACACGACAGTTTCGTGGGGTTGGGTTACTGCGCAGCGCCACGGCAACTTTGTGCAACTTCCCCGTAGCCTATATCTATCTTGTGTGTTTGCTTTTGTATTCATAATAATATTACAATCTCTACTCAAGTTCTCACTTAGCCATTTGAGACAAGCTCTACCGAAACGCTACCGAATTCCTCGCGCAACACCATTCTCACAAGCAGAAACTCTCTCGCCGTCGTAACGCTCTCCATAGTATTCCTTCAATTGTTGCTTCTACACGAAAACTACCAAGATTTTAGAATCGAGGGAAGTTGATGAAGAGTCGTCAGCTAAATCCTGCCTCACAGCAGAGCAGTGAGAGTAGAATATGTATCGCTGCTGGAAATAGGTGTCAGGAGAACAAGCTATTAATCGCTGTTGAGAACCGAGCCCGCCCATCTTTGCTTTATACACTAGCGCTTCCATGCTTCGTCGAGAAGCGGTGCGATGCTTGCCTAGCTGGCAGAAAATGAACTGCAGGGAAGGTACGACTTGCGGGTCGGTTTTAGCTGTCTAGCTTCAAAAAGTGAAAGCGCCACCAGCGGCTCCGCCAGAAATGCCATTTTCCAGTTGCTCGGGCCCAAAAGCCCCTTTGCTGCGTTGTTCGGGCTTGGACGACATTCCTCCATCAGCCGGAATCTCGTTCGTTACAACTCGACCAAGAGAGTCTGGAGAACCCCGCAGAGACATACCTGTACAGTGACAGCCGAAAAAAACTCGCGAAGGATGCTTTTGTGCCAGGCAACCGCAATTTCACAGCAAGCGCCAATTGTGAAATTGCGAGTC